AATATAAGCTGTGTCAATTTTCCTTGTGGTCCTAAAAATGTTTACTAATAAGAGTTTTACGAAGAAATGAGCTTGAGTACTGAGAATTTGAAACTTTGGAGACGAAGTTAGTGTGAATGTTGTACTTGTTTGAGTAGTGGCAGTGATAATGATGATGATGATGATGAGTATCACCAAGTAACAATAAATTACGAAATCAGCAACGAAAATCTCTTGTCTCTTCCCCTATTTCTCTATCCATCCCTCGATTTCCACTTGAACTTCTCTAAACCTTGCTCAAGAAGTTAGTCAACGGGAAGAAAATAAACCACATGATTCTGGCGTGTTTCGTAGCTTTATATTCCCACGTAGAGAGAAAATCGAAGAGAAGGATTCCAATTTATATTGCGGCAACGGACGGGGAATCTTGGATAGATGTGAATTTGGCGAAGAAGGGAATCAAAAGAAGAGAAGTATAGTCGAAGGAGCCAAGTTCACGTGTTTCTTTGGTAATTGCCTTTCGCAGTCCGGTGAGCTTCTCATCATGTTTCGCATATCAATTTCCCTACACGTCGTTTATATATCCTACCACTCTCTAGATGTAAAATTCCTCCTCTGAGTACACATTTTCTTCACACTATAATTCGAAGCTTGATGGAATAATCACAGGTTTTAATGTGCAATCGGGAATTAATGAGTGGTGACGTTATGTGCTTGTAATTTGAGAAGTGGCTCCTAGCTGGTAGGATGATGGATTGAACCTATACACAATAGTGACGGCGAATCGTGCCGATAGTTGTAGCATATAATGATTGTATACAAATGACAGTGATAATATTAAAAGTCTTTTACTATAAAAACAAGTTCACCATCTTACAGTTTACCCATACAGACAACCCAGATAGAGACAGGTCTACAAATCGATTCAAGTAACAGTATATAATGCAGCTCATGCTTCCCTTAGGAATGCTGGTCGAGAGTCTTGTGGATTGAGACATGGAGATTTACAGGATGCGAGGATATTTATATAAGGAATCTATTCACAAGGAGAAGAAAATAAAAAGTGAGACTCGGAAACGTGCGGAATTGGGGTCATCAAGCATTGATGCCTCCGTGTAGCTAACTTCTTGGACCAATGTTAATGTTATCAGATCAGAGTTATATTCGGCTCGTGAACTTGTCAGTGAACTATATAATTATACTTCTTTCCCCTCTATCACCTCTTTTCAAAGCCACAGTCCCACTCCTCGGTCTATTTTTCAGTGTCATACAGTAAGCTTGGGTTTCACGGGGCTATTATTGACAGTTTGTAGATGAAAGAAGCTTGTCCATGTTTTTCGCAAGCAACAGCTCTGAAGCATGAGCGAGAAGTTGGTTGGAGGTGCATTTGGGAAGGAATAGGATTGACAGTGTTAACTATGATAATGATAAGAATTATCAGTGTCAATGAATGCCTGCATCTATGAGATAGGAAAGTGGGCAAATGCCTCCGAAATATTTGATCTACCTAATCGCCTCCTTAACAAATATCTCTTCTCTACCTATGACTAGGAAGAGACACTAATTCTAAGAAGCCATAGTACCTTATTCTCACAGTGTTTTGGGTCGGATATCTAGGACAGATATATTATGAAGCAGAACCTACTTACATAGATAGCTTAGCACTTTCATTGAGATGATGTCATAGTCACGCTGACAAAACCGGATTAATTATTCATTCGCCTCCATGATCTCCTCACTCTATCTTGGTCACCGCATAAATAGAGGACTAGTATCTTGTAAATAGGTAGAGAATTATTCGCAACCAGCTTTTCTGGTCCAGGTGTTCCGTTTTAGCTGTTTCTTGTAGGTTGCACCTGTTCCGCGCAATATGGCATGTGCCTCAGAATATTGAGCGTAACTGGTGTCAACTGGTCAGATAGTTCATTGAGAAAGTCAGACGTTTGGCACAGAATATTTGATGATGATAGAGGGAAATTTGGTGGTTAAAATGCTTCATAATGACTTTGAAAGCGACGATATTCTCATTGTCATTCTCATTTCTAATTATTTTGCCCCGAATTTTCCTAGCATTGATGTAGTCAGTCTGGTGACATGAAAGATTACATTTCGAGTCACCATTTACTTCTTCGAAGCGTCAAGTCTAGTTCCCGCTCAATCTTTGTGAGATCAAGACGTCAAATCAATGAGTATATTTATAATCACTCGCTTATTCTAGTGGCCTAGAGATCTTGGGATGTTACAAGGCACTTAGGTCTTGGAAAGTTTTTCTGGCCTTCTGAGAACCCCTAAGTTTGTTATGTCGTGGGTATAATATATATTGCTTCTGCTATTATTTCCCTTCTTGTAAAGCATTATGAGTATCTACATCACGAACACATTTTGTCACTCTGAGACCTTTCTTTCGAAGAAGGTCAATTGAGCACTGGGTAATAAGATACTCAAATTTTGAGGAAAGAAGAGATCAATGAGTGTCCTATATGACGATGGAAAGTTTACTGCATAATTTTGATAACCGAGCCCCTTACTTGTTCTAACTTGACAGTAAAAACGTATTAGCATTTAGAGGCAGCGATAGAATTTACAAAAGCCTGCTTCTCCTTCCGCTTGCGTGGAGGGCTAATACTGTCTCCCTAACATTGTGGAAAGAGATTGATGGGGTTACCATTTCTTCCGATTGATATACAGACTTGGCTAGAAATCCTTGTCATTTACGAGAACCCAGAAGGTAATAATTACTCAAACCTTTACCATTAATCCTGACTACAACAGAGAAGAATTAGATGGATGACGCAGATCTTGACTTCCAAATAAACAAGTACCGTACCCTTTTATATTGAGCAGCTACCACATGTTATTGTTGAGATCTTGACTTAGCTATCATTTTGACTTTCCCATCACGAAACCTTAAAGTAACAATCGACTGAACCATGTCTATCAATCCGGGCTCCTCAGCTGAAGCTCTCCCTGACGGATTAGATAATGAATTCATTTTGAGCGATGACGATAGCATCGGTGAAATTATCAATGGACATACTCTCAACGATCTAGGCAAACTTATCCTAAAGCTCCTCATTTCTCGAAAACCTAGCCAGAATTGAAAAGTCCAGTCAGAGCTCGAATGATTCAATTCCTCAAGGACTGCCAAATGAGATTTCAGCTACAATCCGCACACTATTGTGCTAAATCAGGGAAGATACAAACCGCGAAGGTCTCAGAAATTCACCCGACAGATACGCAAAAGCGCTTCTAGAGAATTGATGATTTCACAAATAGATTGCTGATTTCCAGAAATGCATCTCTTTCCATTGGCAAAATGCAAACATGTGGCTGCATGGTCTTGCTATTCCGCGTTTTCTTTTGTGGAATTGACTATAAAGCTATTTCAATATTTCACGAGCTCTCTCTGCGTATTCCTCGGATCAACCAAAGCAATATGGTTAGTCTCTATGAATCGAAAAAGGCTCTTTTGGGGGATGTCACGACGGAGATGTTCATCGAAACCGGTGCTAATGATAACGGGCAAGCTTTCGATCTCATTTTTTTTTGTCATAGCATGTATGGAATGAAGTTGATGGGAAAATTCATCAACAAGGCGCTAGGAACGCTTGTTTCAAGCCTAGAAAGTGGAAAAGTAGTGATATTTCATCACGACTAGTGCCTTGAGCTTGATGAATTGACTTATTGTCGTACGGCTATTTTTCCAAGAGGAACCATCTATATAGCAAACAGTAATGAGACATTGGATATAGACTGCGCAACAGGTACCCGCAGAGTAGATAATAACCTCTACAAATAATCCACAAATTATCCATTATAGAGCAAATAATTCGAAATTCTAGATAGGTAATCCACAAATTATCTACAAATTATTCATAAATACCCATATATTTATAAATAATTTGTGAAATAGATAATTTATAGATAATTTATAGATAATTTATAGATAAAAAATAATCTGTAAATTATTATTTAATTTTTAAAGCTATTTATAACTTTATATTAATTTTTATATTAATCTATTATATAATTACTTATATATTTGTGAATTATTTGTGGATAATCTATATACTTACAAATTATCTACAAATTATTTACTCTGCGAATTATCTACAAATATTCACAAATTACTTGTTATAAAGCGGGTAATTATTTGTTTTTATAGATAATCTGCGGAACGGGTAGAACCTTTGGTAGGTAACCTGTGGGGCGGATTACCTGCAGATTACTTGCGGGTGCGGATAATTTCTGCGCAGCCTAGTTGGATGCCTTCTCCCCCTTCATCGCAGGTTTCATCAAGCAGGATGTGGAGGTGGATATGGCTATACGAATCAAGTGGAGAAAAACATGTCGCGCCTTGGCTTGTCATGATGAAAAACTACCGGGGTATCTGTTGTTCAGCTCACCTCAATGTATGGTATCCATCAAAAGAGACGCGGATGCGTTACCTGATCTCGTATCACAGGTGCCATTTGCGAAAGACCGAATTGTCAAAAGCTGGGAGGCTCTCTTGCATCGACCTACTTCGATCTTCAGGCCAACAACTATGGAGCATGTTCAACTTTGGAGTCAATTGGCTTTGAAGCATAGATTAAAACTTACCGTAATTGGTGGTGGTCACAGCGCACACTGTCTGTGACCTAATGTCGTCTCACTCGATATGGAAGCCTTCAATCGAGTACATGTTATCACCTCGAGCGATGATGTAGATAATGCCAACAATCGGCTTGGTTCCAAAGATCCGGCACGTACTTGACATCTGTCAGCAACCGGGTGGATTGACCGTATGTACTGGTCTGCTGCAAAGGCACTTCATTGGTGAATGGGCTAAAGTCGATGCTTTAGTTTGTTGTGGATCCGGTGGCTTTGTGTTTGCATCAGCTTTAGGAGCGCAGACTGGTGTAAGATTGACATTGGTTCGAAAATCTGGCAAACTACCACCACCCACTATCTCAGTCGAAAAGTCGCCATCACATATCTGGTCTACGGAATCGGGCGAGTTATAACAAAAACTGTTTGCGATGGATCCAGGTCTGATTAGCAGAAGTGACTGTGTTGTGGTCATGGACCATGTACTTGCAACGGGAAGGACACTTTGTGCAGTGTTGAAGCCATTGATGAAAGCCGACGTTCGGCCCAAAGATATCAGAGTCATGGTTGTTGCCGAGTTCCCCTTTCATAGTGGTCGAGAATTATCACGTCGGGAAGGTTTTGGGGAAGTTTCGATTCAAAGTCTTTTGGTTCTTGGTGGTATGTGAGAAGGGAATTTCCTGTCATGTCATATTTCATGGATGAAGAAGTGATTGTGTTGAGAGTTGCGCGTTGGAAGTAATCGTGAAACGCGGGGTGAGTTTATCATCACATGACTACATTGTGACGCCTCTGGAATCATCAGCCCTCGTGGCTCTAGGATTTACTGGGTTTGATATAAGACATTGAATGGAGTATTGTTCAATGTATGCAAAATGGTTCAAGGGATTTTGTGCATACTATTCTCTCTAGTATGCAAGGGGAAATCTGTACGGGGGATAAAGTTACTCAACATTTATCATAATTTTATCAAATTCTTAATCTTTAGGTTTATAAAATTCGTTTCCATTTCCTGAGTTTTCTGGCAGATTGCAAAGAATGGACGCGATGAGGAGCGAGGGTTAGAGATAGCTTTTGGTGGTGTCACGCTTGTGGGTTGTATCTCATGTGTAATGATGAGAATAAAGGAGCTTGTGAGCCGATAGCAATAAGTGTCCAAGATGAAAAAACTTCTTGCTGTAACAACAAGAGGCAGTAAAGGACAACAAGAGTTGCACAGGCATCAGTGAATAATAAAGACGTTGGTAAAGATGAGGCCATCACGATTGCCAGATTCTATTATTATGAATGTTGCCTGATTATAGATCCTCACAGATACAGCAATTCTGTCACAAAACTGATCCTTCCGTCGCTTATTTTGTGCTTATGAGAAAGATTATCCTGGTCAACAGAATCAAAGTAAGAGGGTTTTATACCACTTGAGTTGAAGTCCAACCCTCATCTTCAGTAACTAACTGCACATTCATTGTCTACTGGATTCGCTTCAAGTCTTCAGTCGCTCATTTGTGACTTGGCTCAAGAAATTTGAGATATTGAGATATAAACCCTCATTACAAGTTTCAAACATTACTTACAAGTGGATGATCGACAAAAGCTTCTGTGCTTAAGAGAGGTCTTTCACGCTTAAGAGGGATCTTTTTCGAAGTTCGGGTTTGTTGTTTCGGCAACTAGGGAGAGCATGTCGAGAGATTCGAAAGTCGGTGGGATTCGAGAATATGATTTATATTCACAAGTATAAAAAATATGCCCATTATCGCATCAACAAGAGTGTGTATCATAATGTATATGGAGAATATCATGTTCACTTCGAAATTCCTTTTCATATCAATGCTGATCTGTCTTCGTGGTGGTAGATACCTGTGGGTTAAGCAGTGGTAATTGATACATTTCTCCCCCGCTAATTGCTTCCCATATTTGCCCTAGAGTTTTGGTAGTAGTAGGTTAAATCATACAGCTCTAGTGATCCATGGTAACACAACATACAGAATACGATTCTGACCGGTAGTTGGCAGAAATCGTGAAACTACATCATCCACAATGAAGATATGTCCTAAGAGATGATGACAACACCGCGTTAATTTAACAGCAGCAAGATCCACGAGCTCACAGTCTGTTGAATTTTCCTCTTGTCTTTTATGTCTCAGTAGAAGAAGCCAGAGTATTGCACCTATTAAGGATTATCTCGATATATGGTCACGAAGGAGGCGCATTTAACAAATTAAAAGGTCGTCTTCACTATCACTGATGGAAGCTAAGAGCTATAACTGCGCCGTTATAGAGCATTTCTAAAAAAATTGGCGAAGGTTCTACTGTAATCTTCTTTTCTACTAAAAGTGTGAAGTTTCGATCAGGAATAGAGCAGAATAGGGAAAATACGATTGTGAGATCTATAAGAGAGAACATTTCAATGACTCCGTTCACAATCAAATCCTCGGAACTGCACGTTGAGACCGTTATGGAGGAGCTTCAGCGGCATTTGCAAGTGGGTCATTGAAAAGACCGAAGTATAATATGTTACAAGTAATGATCAAGCGAGTTTATCGACTTCAAATTCTTCGCACTATTTTGATAAATATGGAGATTGATAACAGCCGATTATTGATAAATAGCGACAATATTCAAAGAGAATTGACGACAAGCAACAACTAGGTATTTACACTTTTTAAATCTCGCCTAAAATCATGAGCGAATACAGATAAATACTTAGACACAATTAGACAACAAACTGCATCTCACATCTCCCATCTGGTTTCTTCGCTGGATTGCTCACGTCCGGTATCTGCAAAACATCGAACCGAAAATCAAGCAAGACGCGAGAAGTCTATATACCTCTCTCGCGCAAAATTCTTTCCCGGAACTGCCTCCGATTTCCAAATCCCATGTTAAACCATGCTACTCCCTCTGCATCAGCCCACAATTTGAACCTTAGGCTCTACGCAAAATATCAATTTCCCAGATAAACATTTTCGGGTATATAAACTCCTCTTACCCATTAGTATATTCGAGATCCAACATCAAACTAGTCGTTGGATACACCACCCAAGATGCGCCCTGAGACTGCAAGTTCACAGAAGGTCAGACTTCAAAGCAGAGGAGGTTACTATACGATAGATCTAATTCCGATTTCCTCACCCGTTTTTTAGGTAATGTCGGCAATATTAGTTTTTCTATTGATGAAAACGTTGTGGAGTTGACAGTAAACACTGAACGAAAGTAAGCTAAATCTAGGACAAACTTACAGAAATCACTCCTCCGCTCGATCAGTAAACTACACAATCAGAAATCTATCATCCTCTGCCTTTCCTTACTGCTCCCTGATTCCTTGCTTTGGCAATTTCTCTTGTATCTACTTCCTCCCTATCCGTAAAAATTTATCAATTTATACTCAATCATGTGATTCCGAACTCCCTGACTAGGAGATACAGCAGTTCTGGCGGGTACCAGCCATTCTCATGCCATACTCTCCTAGCTATAATTCACCTGACTTTAGGTACAAATTTGTGAGATAGAGATACCCTGCCAACGATTTATCTACCCAATTCACTTTGGAGTGTATAAAGGGACTAAGTATTCGAGCTCACGAGCGAGCAATTTTCATGCCATGTGGAATACAATGGAACGCAGGGTAGGGTTTCCGTGAGATATCCCAGGGTATGATTGGAGATTCTGAGTAATGTTTGCTTGCATAGTGCTTTGTCTACAGCAGTAATGGAACAACATGGGATGGATATAGACAAGTAGTGTTGTCGAAATATGAGTATCTAAGTGATTTTTACAACGAAAATCCAATCATCGACAACAAAACCTGCGATTCTACACCAGTAACAACAACAAGAGATTAATCATCACAAACCCCGAGATACTACACTTCTGCCCGCAAAAGAAAATTAAAAACTGCTCTAGAAGACAATTTGTTTAAGTAGTGGATAATGAGTTGCATGCTCTTGGTAGGTCAGTAGAATAAATGAACCTTTTATACCTCACTTTTCTACTAATTCATGGAAAGATCTTCCTAGAAGTAACCACTACATTTTTATATACACCTTACCCCCGTCTACACGGGCAACCCGGAATTTCCAAACTCAAACAAGTATCTTTCCATCCACTACTACTAATCCGGGTGAGAAATCTACAAAATCTGTCAATCACAGGGAGCGAAAGCGTTGATATGCACATACCTTTTTCTAATAATGAAAATGACAACGAAAGATATCTGTAGATATCTAGTCTTCTGTATACACACTCTGACAACAAAAAATTCATAGAAAAAAACACATACTCACACTCCCAGCTTATTAAAACAATCTTTCAATCCTAATCCAAACAATTCATCATCCATCTGAATTTCCATCATCTCAATCCCGAACATCAAATCTCAAATCTCAACTCCCTATCTCCCCCTTCCCTTCCCTTCCACCAAAATTATTCCCCTATTAGCATCTCTCCATCCTCCCATTCCTCTCCACCCCCCTCCAACTCCCCACCGGCCTTCCAAATTATTTGTCCTATCATAACAATCATCATTATTATCCTTCCATTTCCTATCCCATTGTCTTTCTCTTCTCGTCCTCCTCCCTCTCCTTCCTCTCCCTCTCCCCCCTTCCCTCACAACCACTTTATCCGGTCTCCTAACTCCCTCCCAATCACCATCACCATACACACACCTCATCTCCAATTTCTCTCCAACCCCACCTCTCGCACCACTTTTCCACATTCCTCCACGTGTTTCTCCACCATCTCTCCACCCCCATACACCATTCCATCTCCATCCCCATGCTCATCCCCACCTCCCCAATACCTCTCAACCCAAACCCCTGATCCTTCATCAAATCTAACACAGCACATATACCCTATCATCAACAACACCATAAACCCCAATATAGAACCCAACACAATCCCCACAATCGCACCACTGCTCACTCCTCGTCTTCGCTACGCCGACTTGCAGCGTCGTCGATCTGGTATTCATAACAGCATCAGGGAATATGATCGATCTGATGATAACAGCTTGAGCTGTCAAAAATGTTGAAAAGCAGTGCTTTAAGCGAGGAAAATGGGAGAGATAAAAGATCTATCTCTTCGAGTCATAATCTGTATTACTTCCTTCGAAACACGAGGAAGAATGGTCGCTTGAGGAACCATTCGAGTCTTTAGGGTTATAGGAGCCATTATGACTGTGAGTAGTGAAAAGTTTAGCACTGCCCCAGAAAAGCGTTGAGAGAGTTCCGGATTCAATCAGCCGAGATACATCCATCTTATTTAATATCCAAATCCCACGGATGGATTTCATAACTGTCATAATGACTTTCTGAATGCGCTGGTTTGGTTGAAGGACCTCATAGCCTCATGACGGGCATCTACACGGTGTGAAATTTTGAGCCGCTTGAAGAAAGGATGCGCAGATTTACAGCCTTCACCACGGGTCAATTCTTTCGGATGATAGAAATTGAACCCGTAGATTGGGTAAGTTACGTTGCAGTAAACTAATGCTATCAGCATTGTGTAGTACATATTTCACGTTGATTCGTCGAGATTCAGAGACATGTGTACGAGGAAGCTGGAGAAGATGAAGGATACATGCAACCGCAAAAAGACTCGAGATCCCTGCTCTATATATCATGTATCTCTACCAATTTTGATCATAATTATTACCAGGTTGACCCGTATAAGCAGGAAGATCTCCATCCAATAATGTTTGCCAATATTCCCAATCCATAGGAGTAATATCAGGCATTGAAGTATCGAGGAAAGAATCTGAAGCGAGCCATGGTTGTTCTTGAGGCATTTGCATTTGCATTGAAGGTCCTGGTTGTGATGGTTGTGGCGGTGGTATGTAATCAGGTGGCTTTTGTCTAACATAAGATTCGGCTGTAGCTGGCATTTGCCAATGATTTACCGTTCTGAATGGATCCGAAATATCATCATGTTGCTCAATAGATCTTTGAACTTGATCGTGTTTCTGTCTCTGAGATCTTAGGATTGATATGAATCTTGGCGGGGTAACTTGATCCGGTGAACGACTACCTTCTTCTCTTTTCTCCCAAGCTTTGAGTACCAAATTACCCAAGGCAAAGTATAGAGTACTTTTAGTATCGTTGAGCATTTCTGCACGAAACTCATATGCAAGTTCGACTTGTTGCCATGCTTTATCAACTAATTCTCCCCTTTCCCTACGTCGAAGTTCGCTGAGCAAGTATATGAATGCATCCAATTGGAAATGCACATGAATATGCCACAAATATCTTTGTACAAGCTTTTCAGAATGACCTAGACCATCATATTCAAGCATCTTCAATGATTCATTAAAAAGCATATCTCTTTCCTTCTGTGGCATACTTGCACCTTTATCAGGATATTGTCTTGGATGGTGAGCCATTAATCTCATCGTACAAATGACAGATTTTGCGACATATATCGATAGTAAATGTAAAGGTATCGATGGATCACAGTATTGTAAGTACTTTTCCTGAAGTCTTGCCTCCAATTCATCAATAGTCTTATCCTTTTCGGCAATGACGTTTGAACCAGGAGGAATATCTGAAGGACCGCCACCATGATAACCACCACCATGATGACCGCTGTCCTTATGTCCACCATGGCCACCTCCCCCATACCCATGTCCATGTCCATGTCCACGTCCCCCATTGCCAAAGCTATTAGCTTTTCGTATAGCTTGCGAAACTTCGTATCGAATACAACAGAAAAGCATTTCAGTTGCACCTGCACGCTCGGGTGGAGGTTCTATCATGTCGGGGGTGAGATCGCTATCGCTAACATTCAGTGGTACTTTCGTGTCAAATTTTGCGAGCCACTACGTAAAATTCAGTCAGTAAAGCTTAGGCATAGGTGGGAAATGATTTCAAAGTGAATGAGGAAGTGTATATTTATAGTGAAAAGACCTGCACGGCTAAGAGCAGGTGAATGTCGAGTATATACTTACGGCGGGATATCCTGCTCCACATAATTTTGCTGCAAACCCATCAAGGAACACAATCTGCCACCAAACTCTTCTTCTCATTTCCGTATCGAAAGGAGATAAACTATGAGAAGATCCGTCACGATGAATACCTAATCTTTGACCAATTCGAACGGCAGAACCTGTCAAGATCCAAAATGCATGAGCATCATAATGCTTACGAGCTGCAAGCTATTTATTTGAAGTCAGTTGAGAAGTACAGGGTCATTTGAGTATGTCGGAGAGGGATGGTGGGGTCGTCTAGGTCGTTCGCTTCGAGTAAAAGGAGTCAAGGGGTAGTGACAATAACTTACAAGAAATAAACAATAAGCTTGTAAAGAAGTTAAATTGAGAGATTTGATATATTTGACATTAATAAGAGCTTGTTGGGTGGCATGAGAATATCTTGATAAAAGTATTGATTTTGGTTCATTGAATGTACTCTCACATTCATCATCCTTGAGTGAGCCGATGGATAAGAGGTATATAACGAACATTAACGCTTCTGTAGGTTTCGGAATATGATCCATATCTGATGTTGCTTCTAAAATCATCTCTTGAACTGTAGGAGCATGAAAAAGTTTGACCAATGGATTGACATTGGTCAAAAAGATTTGCCATAATCTAAAGATTGTAACAGGTTGTGGATGAAGACTTCTGAGGTTTCTTTTTGAACTAATCAAGTTTCCAAGTAGAATAGTTGATTCTTCTGGGAAGAGAGGATTGTCATTACTGTCATCCTCTTCCGATGAGACTTGAAACGCTTCTTTTGGATCTTGTAATTCATTGCTGAGATTCTCCCAGACAGTACTAGAACTCGTTAGCCATGCATTCGAATGATCTAGTCACGCAAAAGAAGTTGGACGAGAGCTACGCACTTTTCTATGTAACGCGAGTTACCATGTTTAGAGTACAATCGACCTCTTCCAGCTTTAGAACCACGAGCACAGTGATCCTCATGAAATTGATGAGAATCATGATTACATCGATGTTTATGTGGACCATTTTGATTATCATCATTTTCAGTCCCGATTGCTGTAGTGGTAACTGGTTCTTTACCTTTATTGGTTATTGGAGGGATTTGTGGATTAGGATTGGGTGTCTTTTCTTGTCGAGTTGAAATCAATTCATCAGCATTTCCATCTTCAGTACCACTTGCATTTGCACTTCCAACACCACCAGTAACACCGTCCTCCTCGATTCGAATTCCATTCACTCTCAATAGGTGTTCATATTTCCTTAATCTTGCTGCAACATCCAATTCGCTAAGCTTCCGTCTCCTCCGACGTGGAGCAGCCGGTGTACTCGGAATACATTCAGCATGTGCTTTGACGCAATTGGAACATTGAGGTTTTTGCCGGTCGCATCGTACTTTTCTCTGTTGACAGAGAATACAAGAATGACCACGAGTTATCTTTTGATGAATTGGTTGAGCTGGAGGTGTTGGTATCGTCGGACCCCGAGGTTGAGGAGTTGATTCCATCATGATATGAAGATATACAATATATGAAGGTCAAAGTCACCGTAGCCGGAACCTATAGCTATGAGAGGATGATTGATGTGATGAAGGGGTCATGAGGTCGTGAGTTGACGATGGAGTTGAATTCCTTGACTCGTATGTACCTACCACATTGGTATCTGATGGCCGGAGATTCGGAACCGTCGGGAGTTTGGGTCCAAGCTATAAATCAAGCCTTTTCTTGCTGACTTTTCTTCCCTTTGCCTTTGGATAAATGAAGTCTTCCAAATCATATAAAAACCCCTTTTGGGTAATATCAAGTGATATACATGGGGAGAAGGAAGAACATTCTGCATCTGATAGTATCCAGTATTGATAAATTGATTGCACAAGGCTACAAGAGGTGGTATACCGGTATATTAAATATGTTGGTTCTTGGGATCAATTTCTTGAGGTGTCGGGTGTCGGGGTCGGAGGTTCGGCCTCTCTTCGGTCCCGACAATGTTCTTTCCTTAATTGTTCAACCTTTTTAAAGCTTTCTTATTGGATGACAAGGAGGAAAAAAGACTTGTGAGACTTGTGAGCCTCGTGAACCTCGTTATCATTGCTTCATTCAGTAGGACGTTGGTGTGAAAGTAAGAGGACATTATTTTGCATCTGTTGAATGGTAGAAAAACTACGGAATTTCATCATCTTCTGTAAAATCTATATTACCCTTTGATCTCTCTACAAGCTGTGTATATCCATCCCTTCAGGCTCTTATAACAATGCAACTCTTTAAATATTGATACTCTCCCTAGTTACCATGCTTCTCTCATCTCCCTCCTCTAATCATAAGGCTGCATAAAATCTTGTCGTCTTCAGATTTGGGTGAGTAGCGAGACCGTCAGCCTTCGGTTCTCACTTTTTGTTCTTCCAATCCTTTTCTCGCCAAACCACATGATTTCTTCCCACACACAACATTAAGATCGAGCCTCAACAAGTACGAATTGGTCGTTATTCTCCTGTCATCCAGGACCTAAGTCTTATAAACATCGTACGTGTTTCATATGCTTTCTCGTCCATTACCCCAAGGTCAACGACTTGATCTTATAAGCTTCCTAGCTCAAGACTCATTGCCAGCTTCGATTTCTCAAATTGCTTCCGAAATCCAATTCTTGAGAGAGTGTCCTCAAGTAACTACTAACAAGAAAAAGGCCAAGATGGTTCGTCCTGCGATGGAATCAGACAATTCGGGTGAATCCGCAGTGATCAGCTCCTTCGGTATTCCATTATCAACCACTTCCAATCGCAATGGTCGCGTCAATCGCTGGGGAAGTAGAGTCAACGATGCGGATGAACAGTATCCTGGATGGAGAAAATCGATTGCCACTATGTTATCTCTCTACCTGCTTACGCTGATTGTAGCTCTTGTAAGTCCTTTTCTTTGCACGCGTGAGTTCATCTCATATTCATCGAATTTTACCCTTGAGTTTTCCTACTACTTCCAACCAATTTCAAGTCCCTTTTCTTCCTCAATAGCTCTCTGGCTCAGAATCTTTCAAGAACTCTCGAATTATGCAGACTGTTATCTCCACATACTGCAACTCCGAACTTCCAACTCCTCTTCCATTTACGTGCAATGCAGTGATACTAACAAAACTTAGGATCGAACAATTCTCAGTACTGCTATCCCTGCTATTACCATTGAGTTTAACACACTTGAAGATATCGGATGGTATGCATCTGCATATCTCTTGACAAGTTGTGCTACTCAATTACCTTTTGGGAAAATCTACAAGTTCTACAACTATAAATGGGTTCTCATGATCGCAGCTGTCTTTTTTGAGGCTGGCGTAAGTGGTCCTTCTACACCTTGATCTGCCACTGTTTTAACTGATCTTTAGTCTGCTATATGTGGATCCGCGTCAAACTCTAAGGTTTTTATTGTTGGTAGAGCAATTGGTAAGTCTTCCTTTGTCCTTCTGATATCATCTTCGGAACTGACATAGTGAAGCTGGCCTAGGTTCTTCGGGTATCTGTAAGTGCAATCGATGCATGACTTGAGTTTCTCTGTTTCTGATTCTATAACAACCTTGCACATAAAACACCATCATTAAGTTTTGCTGCTTGTCTTCTCACTCTTATACTCCCAGAAAAGTTAAATGACAAAACAACCACTGACTGTTCAATCTTGCTTGTAGTCAATGGAGCTATATTAGTCCTGAAAGAAACCGTGCCACTTCATCGTCGCCCTATTTTCATGAGTAAGATATACCAGCTACCAGGAAACTCAAGTACATCAAGCTAACATGGAAACGAAGGTTTATTATGGTGTATGTTCGCTGTTGCCACTGTATGTGGACCTTTACTCGGAGGTTTACTCACCGAAAGAGTCACTTGGAGATGGTGCTTTTATATCAACCTGCCAGTGGGCGGAGCCGCTGCATTTATTCTACTCTTCGTTTTGAAAGGAAAATCCAGGAACAATATGGACACTTTTCTCCAAAAGCTTCGAAAAATGGATCCCATCGGAACATTCGTCTTCATTACTGGTATTGTTTGCGTACTTCTGGCATTACAATTGGGAGGCAATCAATACAGGTGGGGAGATGCAAGAACCATCCTCCTATTCATATTGGGTGGCATCTTACTGATATCCTTCGTCACGATCCAATTTACGACCGGAGATGATGCAACAGTACCGATTCGAATTCTCAAGCAACGATCTGTTGCTTCGGTGGCGTGGTTTTCTTTCTTCAATTCATGTTCTTTCTATCTTGTCGTCTACTACATTCCAATCTGGTTTCAAGCTGTCCAGGGTCTTGACGCATTCGATTCTGGTCTTCACACACTTCCATTGGTCTTAGCTTTGGTCTTCGCCACCTTCTTCGCGGCAATATTCCAAAGATCCATTGGCTACTATGTTCCAATGATAATTGTATCATCAATCATCGCACCAGTCGGCGCAGGGCTTCTCACCACATTACAAGTTAATAGTGGACCAAAAGAATGGATGAGTTGGCCGGTTGTCTTTGGATCCGGTCTTGGTTTGGGTATACAACAGATCAGTTTGGCAGTTCAAGCATCTCTTCCAGATGGTGATATACCAGTTGGTCTTGCACTTATACCTTTCTTCCAAACTCTTGGCGATACGATTTTCGTCACTATTGGTCAAGCTATCTTCTCTCATGAATTGGTCAAGAATCTCTCGGCTCTCAATATCCCTTCTCTTTCAACCTCACTTATCTTACACACGGGTGCTACAGAACTTCGAGCTCTCATTCCGGCACAATATCTTCCAGAGTTGTTAATAGCATATAACGCGGCTATCATGAAAGTTTTTCTTGTGGCTATTATCACAAGTGCTCTTACGATTCTCACCGGTCTAACTTTGGAATGGAAGAATATTAACAAAGTCAAGAAACCGTTTGAAGTTACAAGACGATCTATCTATCAATATCATGGCGAAGGAGACTGTCCATTCCCTTTGTATGATGCTAGCAATTCTGAACATGTACAACCTGGACTTGTTGATACAGAGAGTCAGTCTGTCATGGAAACAAAGCTTGGCAATGATCTTCAACAACAATTGGAAACAATTAGAGAGGAGAGAGAAAAGTCTAGTTCTGCTGAGACTAATTCTCATATTATCAACACTTCTAAGGATATGAAGACAATTGTAGTTGGAATTTCAGAGAAGACTGGGGATGAAAATTAGAGTTGTGGGATGAGTGGATATGTTGTCTTTGTGGATGATGGATATCATAAGTGAATGAGAAATGATGGATATGAGATGACACAATGGGTTACGTTTTTACGTTAGCTTGTTCTTTACACTTCTTGTCAACTTAAGATAGATGCTAGAATTGCTTTTTTGTACATAGCTCGAGGTAGAAAATACTATTCTCTGATGATGTAGCAATGGATAACTATAATTTTGTATTTTTCTACTTGATCTCTTGGGACTCTCAACCTTCCTTGGAGTTCTGGGAGTAGAGAAAACTGTCGAACTAAGGAAGTTAGGTACTTAGCACATCTAGTTTTTAGATGTTTGATTGTTATACCATCTCATCATTACCACTCTTGCCTTCTATTGAATCTACTTACAGAAATCAAATTTCATAGGAAGAGAAGTGAAGATGACCGCAGGAGAAGAACGGAGGGACGAAATTTAATCATCCAGTAATATAGTCTCGAATAAATACTTGTGTTCTTGAAATGATCAAATCGCTTTTCCGTTTCTCTCTTGTATATCTTGATATTATCTCCTAATCTTAGAATATCTGTATGAACATTGATCATTGGGATCTAGTGTATAGCTTCAATTCATTATCTACTGTATTGCAAAAGCCCTACGCGAAAGCGAAAGAGACTAGCTCTTTCCGTAGCGTCTATCTAAGGCCTACAACTTCCTGTACATAGCTAGCTCTTTAGACAGAATACAATTAGACATGTAGGACCTACGAATAATACGTGGGTGCTACGTCTTCCGTATCCTTCTCAGAGCAACAATATTCTCCTCTCATGCTTTTCTTCAGGTATTTTTGAAGATTTGTATGATTTCCCTGGGTGAGTGGATGGGAGGGGGAATGTTGTGAATTTTTGTGGTGGAAGATTAAGTGAGGAATATAGAATATTTGAATGGATAGCTATTTATTGGGATAATTGTACTATTTTGTATTTGATTTTTTCTCCTGTCGGGTTTTCGCTCGAAATATAAGAGAGTTAACGGGGTTTTGGTTGGGGATTATTGTGTCGACAGAATGGTTTTCTTTTCTACTTTATTTTTATATTTTATTTTATAGTTCTCTTCCTGGTAGTTTAAGAACTTGTTTGATTCCCTTGGTGAGGATGGCCGCGAGTATAGGACGATAGTCAATCTTCAGCACTCACGCTATTGGAATAATTAAATTGGATTTTTTCGTTTCTTTTACATGCTTACATTATCCTGTACTCCACTTCCTCCCCACCCCCCAAAGACCCCTTTAATCCCCCTCCCCCACTTCCTCCACACCCCCCTTCCTCTTCCCTTCCCCCCTCTCTCTCCCTCCTCTTCTCTCATCTCCTCCCCAAAAAACCTTCCCCAATACCCCTCCCACCCCTCCCAAAACCCTACACACCCCTCCTCCCAGCTCCCCCAATAAAGTACCTCTCCCATCCACGTCGGCATCGCTTCCTCTCTCACTCCCTGCTCCTCACTCAATCCCTGCACTACGAGATTCTTCATCTCCTCGCCTTTTTCGCGGAGTTCGATATTCAGGAGAGAAATGCGATGGATGAGGGTTTGGCGGGAGAGTTCGTTTTCGTGGGCGAGAAGCGCGAGGTGGCCGTAGCGACGGGAACGGAGGAGGGTGCTGAAGAGGTGTTGGTCGAGGTGGGAGAGGGTATGGAGGGGGGGTTGAGGGGGGGGGAGGGAAGAGATTGGTGATAGGGATTGATGAGGTGAGGAGGGCGAGGAGATTGTGCGGTACGATCTGGATTGGAATGGAGATTGAGATGGAGATTGAAGATATGGTTTATCAGGGTGTGAGTGAAAATATTCGATTATTTGCGCATCGAGAGTATCTTGATATGACTCCAGTGAAGGAGTTTCTGGGGCATGGAGAGATGTGGGAGATGGGGAATATTCGTAAGAAGGATGGGGATATTCGGATTGAGATGTCTGGTTCGAGTATTCGGATTCGGATTCGGATTCGGAGTTGGAGTCGGAGTTGGAATCCCTTGTGTAGATAGAAGCGGGAGGTGTAGGAGGAGTTCTGTTGGAGTTTTTAGATTGTTTTTGGGGAGTTTGGGTGTGGGGATGTGAGCTTGACTTTGAGTTTAGATGGGATTTTGAAGATGGATCGTGGACGGTTTTCTTGGTGTTGGCTTTTGATGGCATTTTGAATTGATGACTCGAAGAGAAATAAGGAAGGAAGTGATGAATAAAGAATCGATACAAATTAATACAAAATCTCAAGGTTTCTCAAGCGGTTCAATATGCAATATGCGGAGGAAATTATACACGAAATTCAAACACATCAAATCCGAACTTTGGCCAGGTGTGGAGGTTATATATAGAAGTGATACTATATTCTTCTATCTGTATTTCCGGCCGTGTAGTACCAACAAGGTGGTAGGCGGTCAGATAGCGGGTCGATAAAACAGAAATTTCTTTCCGTCATCGAGAGACTGATTAGAGACCGGATGTTCTGTAGGGCTGAGATTTCGGATGTGTAATAGTTTGGAGTGGGTACTTGAGGGTCGTAGAATAGGTCAAACGATGGGGGTAGCTGACTTGAGCCGAGAGGAGACGAGATGGGGTGGTATATCGCGGGATATGGAGTGAAATGCGCTTGGAAACCCGGTGTTCATGATGAGGAAGAATGAGACTGGTATGTTTAGGGGTGAGTGACGAGATTATTGAGGGGTCCGCATTCACAACACAGTAGTTGAGTTTCAAGGATTCTTCAATCTTAATCTGCATATATCTCGCGAGATATCTCGCGAAATTCTGTAACACAAAAATTGAAGACATTGAAATTCTTCATGTGTATAATCAAACGCTCTCAAAAGCCCAATCATGTGTGCCAGCCCCGCCAAAATGACCATCAAGTGAAGAATTTGATGACTAGAACCTAATATATCGTGACTATTTGGAAACCGTTTCTCAGGTATCTACGTATTAGAATTTTTCGTTAACCATATTTCTCCCTCTGAGCGAATTGAAAGTGGGGAGAGAACCAGAAGAGAAGGGAAGGAAACCTCACCCTCACAGAATAAGCAACAGCACCCAGCAAACTGAACCCCGCCATAACTCCCATCCAATCTAAACTGATTCTCCATTTTTGCTTTTCGTACCCACAGAGTATAAGGCCATGAGTTGTAAAATAGTAGAGGAAAGTCCTAGACAGCTGTAAATTATTGCTCTATAAGGAAGTAGACGTGGATGATGGAACTCAGAATAAAAAGTTGTGATTGCACAGACTATTGCGGAAATGGAGATCTGTTTTTGTTACCAATGTAGATGCAAGAAGAGAAAGAAGGGGAATATGTTTACCATCATGTAATAGGTTCTCTGAATCACCGGATCGTAGTAAATTCCATAACAGACAGTGGGAATAGTAGAGCTCCACATCAATATCACTACGCCTAGATAATCAAGCCGATTACCTAGTACATCAACTCTCTTACTGTGATTTGCTATGAGATGAAAACTATTGGAATCTTAGTTGAGAGATAAGTATAGTGGTTGATCTATTCCATATACATAGCTAATAGTAGAAAACAAATTGCTACTCCGAAGAAAAATATCGTGAATAATACAATGATATCGGCTATTTCTATATCTACAAAATAAGGAAAATTGCGTTTATGAAGAAGGAATGGCAGCGAAGCGAATAGAATTGAGCCGAATAGATGAGAGTATATGTTTACTAAGTGTTTCTATTTATTAACGTAGTTTATTAGTATGTACATCATATTAATGCGTGCACCACTCTTTTTATATACAAAATTCATCTATATATAATCATATACTTTCTTTATTTATAAAAAGAATTTTCTGAAAATTAAATATATAATATTTAAATATATAAATACTATGAATTTCTAATAATAATTATTATAAAAAATAATTTTTTTATAATAAAAATCGTAAAAATTTTAACTTTTTTTTAGAATATAATAAGAATATTTAATTTTTAATTATTATTAAATATTTTTTTTAAAAAAAAATAATGATTAATTATTAAAATATAAATATTAAGAAAAGCTTGATTTTGATATATTTTTGAAGTGGTGCTTGTATTGATATAGTACATGCACTGATAAACCACGTTAGGTGTATTTGAAAATATGTAGAAATCATATACTTTATCTGTCTCGTTGTATAAACAATCTAAACTCTAAAGAGACTTGAGAGATGAATCCGAAGCAGGTCTATGATTCATTAGTGGTTATATTTATGAGCTTATGATATGAAGAAGATACCGATAGCCTGTGAAGAGGTATTCATTATCTCTAGAGTATCAAAGCCTTTAGCTTATTTTCCAGAGAATGCGTTAGACAAACCAACTGCTACCAATTCTCTCCAATGTGCTGTTAGTTGTTATAAGCAATTATGACAATTTTGAGACACATACGAATTTCATGCTAATGCAGTGGATTACTTCTAGAACTATAAAGTTTTATGTTCTCGTTACCACAAAGTTTGGCTAATTTCTTTATGTCCTGCCTTTGTTCTGATTCTCTTTTCCAATGTGTCCGACTGATCTTGATAACATTTTCAGAGATCAGCAATAAACTGTATCATAAGTTCCTAAATACAACGAGCAATGGATGTATGTAAATAGATGAAACAACACGATCTATAGATTGATGCGTCAAAGAGAAGCTACTCAAAGCAACAACGAATCAATGCCTCGAGGGTCTAATCACGTGCATAGCGCTGAAAATCACAATGAACCTCATATGTTCTGGAACATATTAAACAAAGCATGAATATATCCAGTTGGAGAGGTGAATACCTTTCTCCTCCTTGCACTCAGTTACTTTGATAGCTTTTGAAATGATGATTTCCATGAATTTTATTTTCAACAACCTTTGATGAATTCGTGAATATTGCGATGATCTCTGTGTAAACCCATTTTCAACAACGAAACCTACGAAACTGGAAGGAGATAGAATAAAATTTCTTGCGCAGACTTGTATATGAGTAGTAAGATCAGTGACTATGATAGCAAACAACCCAGCATCCTCAACAGACCATGAAAAGCTTTCAAGCTTCGATAATCATGTATAAGAAGGTTTCTAGAGAGATCTGACAGAGGCTCAAGACGGGCAGGCCATGTGCCTAAAATCCTACTCTTTCTTGTCTATTGTGTGACTTCATCAATTTTCGGAAATCTTCTCAAGACAGCGGAGATCATCTGTTTGAACCAATAAATGTTCAAGAGTGTCAATATGGTATTTGTCCCCAAATATCCCCAAGCCAACCATATCGGTAATGTCAACTCTTCAGATCCTCTCGAAAATCTGAAAACATCCCATTCTAGACCTCCGGGGCCCTTAAATTCTGGAACGGATATATTGGGAGTATGGAAAGCCCTCCATACATCTTGGTATAATTTTGCAGGTTGGTAGATACCCCAAACGAGACGACATGACAAGAATGTTGATAGAAGTATTGTGCCATTGTAAAGTTGTGCTTTAGAACCTGTCATATTGAGTTTATCAAAGAACCAGTGGATATTGAGAAATGGAGTAGAAAGCTCATCTAGGACGAAGTTTTGGCCATAATAATTTGCGAATAGTCTCTGAGCATCCCAAATATTAGTAAAGTTACTCCCTAGAATAACCTACACAAAGTGTTTGGAGAGGAAACAAAAATGAAAATCTAACAAAACCAATGCCAACTGCTAAAATCGCATAAATCGCATGTATCAACAAGCCCCATCCAAGGATATCAAAATGGACTACACTAGCCATCAAATCCCACAAGAAACAACCCATGGCAAACGCTTGAACGAGGCCAAGAGCCCCAGTGTATCCCCATATCCTTCCTGTCCAGTCCATGTTCCATCGTTCCTCGTCTGTCCAAATTAACCATAAGGCTAATCTGCATATCAATGTGGATTGAACGAACGAGACAAAATGTATGTTCCAATTGATTTTGTTGCGACGGGAAAGTGATGTATATGTTCTTGGAAAGAGTCGAGATGAGGCAATTTGTGATACATGGATATCTATGGTAGAATAAAAACAGAATGCGATGAGTAATTCATGTATGTGGAAGGGCAGCGTCTGCAAGTTAAAAGTATTTGCGAGGGTTTGCGCTTTCTTGAAGAGAATATCTAGTGGAGAATAAACTGGATCGAGTATCTTGTAGGTTTCGTCGTTAATTATGTAGATCTCTTCATCTCAACGATATGTTTATCGATACCATTTGATGATGGCATGTAGCACTACATCTCCCCTTGCATACAAGATGTCTCTATTGGAGGAAGTCCGACTGACGCTGCAATAACTTTTGCAATGATTGAGAGTGCCCAGTGATCATCTTTAGCCTGTTGGAGACGATTCGATTCTTAGAGCGGCCATAGCAAAAGGTACACTTGTAACCTACGAGTTGGAGTTGGTGAATAGATACCTGATCTGGGAATCTAACGATGAATTTCAAAATGATAATGGAAACCATGTTCTAAGTTCACGAAATAGACCAGATTCACTCATGTTCTCACACATACAATGTGGCTTGGAAGAATCTAGAGGTAGGTAAAGTTCAATCCCGAAGTATAGCCTGGAACCCGTGACATAACTCTAGAATCCTTCAACCCTCACGAATCTCCATCCCAAGTTCAAACACATCAATAATTCATCTCAACAATTTTGAATCTCGTCACCAAAAAAAGCAGTCCCATCCTCCACCCGCTCAAACCCTTGAAAATAACCTATAATCAGACGATATCATCGTACAGTCGTACATTCAACCCATGTCATTGAAACTTGGGACGTTTTAAGGTTGTCGAAGTTGATACACCTCCGTGCTTCATGTACTTGCTTGCTTATAATGCCATGGACGGACATGATTGAAGCCGAAGAGAGTTAGGGTTGGCAACGGGATGAAAAGGTGGACTTCCATTTACATGGGCAGCAATCATGCTGTATTGCTATCGAAAAGGGGAAATATCAATTTGGATGCGAGTCGAATATTGTACAGTTGTTGAAGAAAGATATATACACCTAAAGTTAGGCTAACCTCCTGTTATATGCGAAGTTTCGCGATCATATAAAGAGACGGAAGAAAAATCCAATCCACCATTCAGACCCAGCCTTACACATATTACCCCAATCACCTCTATTTATAAACCTCTAAGCAAGGCATTCAAACATGATACACACCATCTCAACTTCATAAGATAGTTACATGCCAAGCCTTCACTCCCGTCATCTTATCTCAATCATCATCCGTAGTTTTGGTTCCCGTCAAAAGACCTAACCCCTGAAGTTTTAACCCTCCCTTCCCAAAACACTTCAAAGTCATTTTTGTTACAACCCCAACCTCCGTGACGTCCTTGAGTATTCTTGGATGAAGGAATTGTATTGCATTGTACTCATGTGTATGCCAAGGCTGTAACAATCGGACAAGCATGTTGAAGATCATTCAATGTTCGTTTTTGCTTAATTAATGCCTTCTTTCCCTCTCCGTGTAGATTTTGATATTTTCGATAATCATCTCTTGTATTTTACTTTGTCTACTATTTTTTTTCTCTCTTCATTCTTCTTACCATCTCCTATAACATACACGGATCCTTCAATTGTTTTGTCGGCGAGTACGATATACATACAACTTTCATTTTCAAGCGCCAGTCGCCATCATACTATTCTGTTCTATTCTATAATCTCTAGAAAGACTTACTCATATAGTAGTTCCTAACTTCACAACTATTCATTCTATCAAAATGTATTTCACTCGGTCTCTCCTCCTTTCCGCCTTGAGCATCAACACTGTCTATGGTAAGTCCTATGCATTCCCTCTCTCCAATTCAACTAACCCTTCTTCCAGCCGCAGCCAATACAACCACTCCTCAAACCCATATAGTCCGCGTCGGCCAGGCCAATAATAGCACTGCACTTCAATATTTCCCTGACAACATTTCCGCTAAAGTAGGCGATGTAATCCAATTTCAATTCGCAGCTGGAAACCACACAGTAACCCAATCCACTTTCGACGCACCCTGCGTTCCAATTAGCCAAAGTTCGAATAACACAGGTGTTTTCAGTGGCTTTATGGATGTAGCTGCTGGGTTGAATAATACGGGTATGGTACCAGTATTCAGCATGCCCGTCAAGGTCGCCACACCATTGTGGTTTTATTGCAGTCAGGGAAAGCATTGTCAAAAAGGCATGGTTTTGGTTGTTAATGAGAAGTGAGTTTTCCCCTCTTAACTTCATGTAATCTATACTAACACCTCACAGCACAGCTGCAAACTCAACCCGCTCTCTCGCAAACTTCGCAGCACTAGCAGCAAAAGCTACTAAAAATATCGCACCTACATCCAACGGTACTTCATCCACTTCTTCGTCTACTTCCTCGACTTCCAATTCTGGCTCTTCGGGATCGTCGGGTTCTTCCTCCGGCTCTTCAGGTTCAGACTCTTCATCTTCGGCAACAACACTCTCTCCAGCTTCAGGTACATCGTCTAGTAACAGCGGAGATTCATCTGCAGCTGCAGCTGCATCCGGAACTGCTACTACCAGCTCGGGTCTCACGGCCGCCACTGCAAATGCGGGAAATAGATTTGGAGTACAGAGTGCGATGGGATATGTGGGTGCACTTGGAGCTGGTGTAATGGTTTTGTTGTGAGGGTTTTACCAATAAGTTGGATGTTTGACGATGAAAAGAGACGTGCAAAAGAGACGTTCAACAGAAGAGAGAAAATTAGACTTGGTGGAAATAATGTGGAAAAGGAAAGAAAAGATGGTTTGTTATTGTATCACTATGCATTATACCGCGATCCTGTGGACGGGACGCGATGATGGCGTCTGGAGAATTATCCTCTACTTTTTTTGTTTGATTCGCTGGATGATAAAGCGATGTATTATGATGAGATAGAATAGACGATGTCTGTCATATCCATATTCATTTTCGTCATCAAGTGTGTTATCAAGTGTGTGTGAGATGATTGTTTATGCTAGTCAAATGCACTACTCGGAATTAGATTGTTCAAAATAGCCACTCCTCTTGACTAAAATTCAGATTGGAGATGGGTGGCTCTTTGACTTCATTCATGAGAATCATTGCGAGGACATTTAACAGATAGTAACTCTAAATCAGGAAAATCGCCCGCTGACACTTCTCTCATATCACATAATAACGCCGAATCCCGCTGTGCTGCCTTGCTACAAAGGAAGTACGTGTAGACCAACCTTCGTACCAGCAACGACCCAAACTATCATATTCATATTACTTCTTCCAATCACACCTCCCTCCCATTTCCCTCAAAAATCCAACAACAACTGCGGTGCCATCTTCTCCAGATCTTCCACCTCCCAAAACCCACCTCCTCTCCCACTCCCCCTCTCCGCATACCTCACCCTCGCAATCGCCTCTCGCACAAACGTATCCATATACTTCCCCACCGCTTTATTCGCTTCTTTCGAAATCCGCGTGTTCGGCTCTACAAATAATTCGTGCATGATTTTCGAGAGCAGATCAATCGGAATCGTGGTGCGACTTTCGGAATCAGAATCGGATTCTTCTGCTGGGTTTGGGTGGGTAGATGTTGAAGCGGTGGTGCGAGGAGTAGGACGAGGGGGTGATATCATTTCGAGCTCGGAATCGGAGAATTGGGGATCGCCGTTGTTTTTAGCTTTGGAGGTTGAGGGTTTGGTTGTGGATTTAGATGTTGATATAGATATAGATGTTGATGCTTTGGCTTTCCCTTTTGATATAGGTCGTTGTGATGCAAATGGATCGTCGCTATCCTCGTCGACTTCCATTTCATCATTTTTATCTTTTTCTGACTCGGAGTCTGAATCTGAATCTGAATCTGAGGCTTCAAGTTGAGAAGTGGGAGTTTTGGAAACGCGGGGTTGCTTGGAAACTGCCGGTTTGACTGTAGATTTAGGTTTGGAAGTGGCAGATGTAGAAGTTGTGCCTTTGGGACGTCCGCGAGGTTTGGAACCGGACGGACGAGGGGGATTGAATGGTTTTGGGGGCATGTTTGTGGGTGGATGGGCAATTGAAAGGGAGACGAGGGTTATTGCGAGCTTGCTTGTGTATGGTATACGAGTGACGATGTGCGGAGGTAGATGTGAATGTGCAGGCAATTGCAACGGTAATGTTGATCCAGAATCTTTTCGCTGAGAGAGTTGAAGAAGCTGAGAGACGCGACGCGAAATGGAACGTTAGCATGTGACGCAAGAATATGCAAATACGGTGACCTTTTCGCTCACATTTCGGAAAATTATCTAGCATCAACATCAACAAAGCAGTGAAGAAAACACAGTATTACTCAATTTAGTTTAGGCTTTTGAAATAATGAATTATATTCATCAGATGTGCAACAAAACCTCCTGAAAGGGATGCTAGGGGATGCGGAAGAGGATGGTAAATTGATCGGGAGAAAAGGGAGGTTAATTCTAGTGAATCTTTGAATCTCCCCTTTTTCGAATTTGAGGTGAATGTGATGACATGAGATGTTTTGGGTCATCACGGGCGACTGTAGGTTTAGAGAGGCGTCTAATAGCTGAGATCATTCAGACTCTTCCGTGACTTCACAGAATTTCAGCATGAAGTACTGGTAGTATGTTGACGTTCCTTTCCCATGTACTCGGGCTCAAACCTGGCACAACCTCTGCTCAGATTTCAGCATCGCAAACTCTAAGATCTTTACTGTACTTATCTTACCTCTTCTCAAATGGTAGATGGCGATCGAAGTAGGTATAGCCATGAAAGTAGTCCGCGTAATCCGAACGAATTCGCAGAAGGACCGTGCTTGGTCAGCGGAATAGTAGCTGCCAGGTGTAAATATCAGGGGACGTTTCTCGTTTGAGGGTTTAAAAAAAGGGGTCAATCATCGGACTTATCAAAGTAAAGCTCATAATCACCTGCTTCTGGAGCATCACGCTCTCAATCCTGGCTAGTATGTCAAGAATGACCTCGCATCACTTCTCTTGTGGAGTTTGCTTCGATAACATCTCGCGAAAGTTGGGATTTTTATTTACCACTCACATACCATACGACTCAGCTCACCGCACCATCAATCATAAGAATCCATCAATCTCAGCAAATTAACTACTAGAACATATTATAACTATTTTCTACACACTATATAAACATAAACCAAACGACAGCAGACAAAAATGCCTGCGGATATAATGCAAAATGACAAAAGAAAACTTTTGGGCCACGCCAAGTCCACAAGGGTAAAAGGTATCTATCTATCTTCCGTTTACTTGGTCGACACAATCATCAAAGACACTCTATACCAACGCCGTTTTCTTGCTGTTCGGAGTGAGATTTGTGGATATTACCTCCTTTGCACGAATACCTCGCTCACTATGCCTCCTTCCCTCCTTTTCAGTTTCGCTTCCTTCGGTAAGAAGGCGAATATGAAATTATATACAATGTGAATGTTTGTTTTGTAAATTTTGTTGGTGCCAAATTGAATCGATAGCTAACTGGGGATTTGTCGTGGAGTTCTATACGTTGATCAATGAATCTCGGGATTAGATGATATTTGTAATACTCATCCGTTCATTACCACGGTTTCTGTCGTCTCTTCGAGCCGGAAGACTTGTTTGTGCCTTTGATGCAATTGGTCCCATGCCACTCGCTCCGATTGATCCTCCCGTTGGGCCGCCCATTCCTCCTGCTACCCCTGGCGCTACACCCAAGCCTAGACAAAATACACCTCGAGGCTCGGGCAAATATGCATTTCCTTGTCCTTGTTCAGGGAGAGATCCAGAACCTGGCACAGGCCCAGACGCGTTAGATTCTCTAGCCAAAATATCCACCAAATATTGCACTCTTTCCCAGCCACCCCAGTCCCTCGCTTCCGCCTCCCCAAGCACCAAAAGTCCTCCACTCAATCCACTCATACCTCCCATCTCCCTATCTCTATCTCCCTCTCTTGATAATGTAGGACTAGTCACACCCGCTCCTCCAGCAACATTGGGACTCCTCATCCCCATCGTTTCTCTGCCTTGCCAAATCCAACTCTCATCTCCACCTTGCAGATCTCCACTCAAGTATGCTAATACCTCCTCGTCCATATCAAATCTTCCTACCCTTTGACTAGAATTCTGACCTAAATACACCAGCTCCCTACTTTTGTTGTCCGAACTCCTCTTCTTATCAATCAACACACCCAGAAAGAATCCGATGTATCTTCCACATGCCACATTAACCTCTTTTTCGAATCCAACATAAGCTAGCGCTCTAATACACGTCGCAGCAGCGTCGAAACGTCCGCCAAAGAGTAAAAACAGGGTGCATCGCCATATATGCATACAAATCATTGCGCTAGTACTTTGGCCCCAGCTCCGATTTTTCGAGGATAGTGGGCTTGTAGAACTTTGAGGCAGAGCGCGAGAGAGTATAGAAGCACTGTTCATAGAATCTAGAATGCAGGATTCGATAGCGGATACGCGTAGATCGGGTGGTGAAGATGTAGTGAGATTGTGGCGGTGAAGTAAGAGACGTGCGTTTAGAAGGTGGTAGATGGGGACGAGAGTTGTGGATTCGAGAGAGTCGGAGGAAGAGAGATGGAAGGGGAGTGGGAAGGTGGATAGACAGTTTGTAAAATGTGTGTCGAATATCGAGATTGTGGAGGGAGGAATAATGGGTAATTTGAGGGTCTTGAGAAGAGACCCTATGGCGCGCATGGTGTGGATAATTGGAAGAAGATAGGTTGACGGCATGCTTGTTTGTGCGCTATTTTGAGGTACGGGCGGAGATCGATAGCCCAGATAAAATTCATCGATAGGGTTTGGGAGGTTAACATCGCAATCTGCATCGTCGATGAGAAGGGGCCTTCCAAATTCAAGCGACATGTGCCGGTCCCAAATATAGATTCCCCACCATACTCTCCTGCGCATTTCATCTTCAACTAATTGCCATGGTCCCGTCTCGCAATGAAGGCCTAAATCTTGTCCAATTCGAACACTTGATCCAAGCCATGTCCATGCTGCCGATTTAAGATTCATTTCGTAAAGAAATATACTAACAAGGAGAGCTGTACGCGCATGATCCATATGGTAATTGTCGTTCCAAAGATCCGTAACGCTTATGGATACTTCTATGTATTCTTTACCTTTGTAGGGTCTTTGAATACTAGGCTCTGTGCTGAAAAGAACCCCCACTGCCATCACCGCAAAGAATAATGCAGTCCAGTTCCGTGATGTAGTTTCCAAAGAGCCCTTTTTGTACACTTCTTCATATTCGCGCTCAAAGTTTGGCCAATGTAATATGGGTGTTACTAGATGTATGGAAGAATAGAAGGCTCTCAAGAGATGATCTGCGAGATGCTTAGGTGGTAGTTCGGGAGGTGAAGAAGTCCTGTTTACTGGCGATCCTATTTGTCGGTATGGCGCTGGAGTTTTGAAGATTCCATGGCTATAATTCCCGATGCTTGATTGTATTTTTGACAAGTCGTGTAGCAGAGGGGCTCTTGATCTCTTCTTAGGTTGCGATCCAATCTCTGGTAAGTAAATAGAAGTCGAACCTTCATCAGCACTCATTTGATCCTCTTTCATACTGAGCATGGCTCTCAATTGATTATTCTCGCGCTTGACATGGGCAATCTGTTTCTCCAAATCTTGAACCTGTTTGATAGAAGACATCCGTCTATTAGTCTCTTTCGTAAATTGACATTTGACATTCCTACTAGAGCACTCTGAACAGCTACTAGTTTCCGTTGCATCGCATTTAACTTTGCGTTCTCGACAGGCATCACAACTTGGATCCTTTCTTCTTTGACGATACGCTCGCTTTTGCGCTTGCATATTTGCCGATGTCATTTGTCCAACAGAAGGGCCTGGAGTGCCGCTTGACGACCCGTTTGATGCTATGGAATCCATGCCCATTCCGCCTGGAGATGTGGTAGCAGAGCTATAACTATGATGGAAGGGACTTTGCCCGGGTGGCGGAAGCCCTGAAGTCATTGCCATGTGTTGTGAGTGAGGGATGTTTCCGGTCATTGGCCGTGGCGAAGCCCCCATTAATCCTCCTTCGTACAATCCTTGGGGCCTAGGAGAGGTCGCAGAAGACACCGAAGATGAATCATAAGATGATATAGATGGTATCGGTGATCTAGGATATGTATTATGCAATGGATCCGTCATCGTTGGAGCACGCGAGATCTATCTCTTCAATTGATATGATGACTGTAGGTGGGGTTGATGTATCTATGAAACGAAAATACTGATACTGTATTTGTGTTTGCTTAAAGATGTCGTTGTTGGTGGTTTAGCTTCAATGCTTGGTCGGCAGGTACCGGTCTATAGAGTACTTGCCATAGGAAAGGGTGTATAAAAATGTTCTGATCAGGAATTATCGATGATAAGGTCCACACAATGTCTATAAGATCTAGTCACAAAACTATTAGTCAGAAGCAGGTAATCTTTCAACTGCTCCGTATGTTGAAGATTTGAAAGATTCGCGATGCGCCGCAGGGGAAAGAGTATTGTGCAACGTTGAAAGCTGCCAAAATCCGACGCACGCCTGCAGTGTGCTCAAGCTAGAATTTCCCCCACTGAATCTTCAATGCTAGATGTATCAAAAGTCGGCAGCTGATCCGTGAGGTGGAGGTGATGAATCTGTGACAGAACGGGCATCAGCCTGTTATATTAAAGTAAATGGTCGCATATCGGGAAATACTAAATGCTTTAAAGGAGAATGACCATTTTGGGGCGGTAAATGGGTATGAAGAGGGAAAAGATTATGCCGATGAACAAGTGATATGAGCTTTTCGTGCTAGAGTAAACTTGGATGAGTGGTTGGATGGAGGGTATATGACGGAGATGCAAGCATTGGGCTTCCGCTTTAAGGCTGATTGGGAAATCTGGAGTAATTGATTGCCAAGATTGAAAGGCAAGCATTGAAATCAGAGGTTCGCCAAAGTATGGTAGGCCCTAAATTTCCCTCCTATCCGGCCATCCACGTATATAACATGGACTATTATCATGTTAAAAGGTAGCGGCATAATTGCGATGCTCAAAGACCTCATCAGTCTAGTTTCTTGTGACAGGTTATCGGCAGGGGTTCGAAATATATGCCAGTGAGTAGTAGTAGTTACCGGAACACTCTGCATGAAGCAAATGTCAAGGGTGTTAAATCCTAAGGTGGGTATGGCCACGAGGCAAATTCATCTTAAGATCTTTCCCGATTGGGACGCAAACTTGAAATCTCATCCTTATTTAGTAGTCGGGTCGGCAGGAGGTTCCTGTCATACTTCGGGACATGATATGCACTGCTGATTGCGCGCTTGATTCGATTCTCCAGTGCAAACTTAACGCTCAAGGAGATAGTTGCCAGGCAGCTCGGTACTGGTGAGCCGTCCTAAAACTGAAAACGACATGTATAGGAGATCTTTCAAATAAATTAATAAAACATACCGGGAACCTGTTCAACTTGCACAACTAATTCACCGACCACTGATATTTGTGAAGGATGACCTCCCTGCAGAATTCTCGGGTTGTGGCGTGGGTAAGCGTTCCTACTTGCATGTATGCGGACTCCAATCCACTTCCGGCAGAGGATACCGACAGGTTCGGGCCGTTGATAGGACAGGGTGAATTCCAATGACTCGGAGGTATTATGTTGATACTTTGGGGGCGACGTAAGTCTTGTATCAAAAAGACGAGCAGATAGAGTGTGACGAAACAATATGTGAGAATCTAGGTTCTAGGTAAAATGTATTGATACAAGTATGTATTGTGCGACGTTCGAAATGAAGAGACCCTTCACGGGGAATTTGGGACTATTCTGATAATTTCCTAGCTCAACGATTCGATGTCAATTTGGGAAATGTGTGAATGTGAGATGCACGTGGGTGATCTTCCTGACTTTCGTTTTTGATGATCTTTTATTTTCCAGACGCCAAATGCGGATTTGTACATCAACAATGCTTGAGTCTAGGATTCCGAACATGGTCTAGGTCTAGGCCGTTGATGGCATTAGAATAACTGATGCACGATTTGTGTCCGTAGGAGATTTAATAGGCGACGCGGCACAAACCTGGTAAAAGAGGTTCAACCTTTGGTACTGGGAATATAGTGATGGGATAAGGTGGTGGTACCTGCTATCCTTGTATGTCCTTGCTACAATGTATTTAAACAGGTACCTTGAAGAGATTCACTGGGGTTTGTCTCGACAGCATGCTGTGTTCCTAAGATCAGCGTTGCCAAACATGCTCGAGGTGCATGATAATGTATGCAAGGCTGCTTGTGAGAGATATGTTGCAAGATGCAGATACAGTTTTCAATGCCATTTAATTTTCATTCACCCCCGCGCGTACAAACATAGCTTTATCTTTGACAAGGAAGAACCAAGGTAACGGCAGTGGAGTTTTCAAGTTCCGGTTCTTCAACAATGCTGTCGAGCCGTCAAAGATCTCGAGGCAGGGAAATCTCCTGTCGACCTAGAAGCGAGCCGTGTGCACCCAATGGCGAATTAAGTAAACACTAGTTGGTGTTTCACCTTCTGGATCCTGCTCAAAGCCTCTTTCTTACTACTGCCTCCGCTCCGGGTAGTCGATCGTTCGTAAGAGCGAGGGGGATGTACCTTTCCGGAAAGAAAGTATATTCAGAGAAGTGGTTCCGTTAGCACTGTCGGGGTTTAAGAAGCATGCCAAGACTCTAGATGTTGGGCCATGACATCCGAGGTACCTGCGGATTGTTGTGGGGACAATAAATGTTGAAATGAGGGGATAGTCGACAAATATGCCGATTTAAGTGGGCGGTATATCTGTTCGTTTTTGATCTGTATTGATGGCGACACATACGCGCCACAGATCCATTGATCAACTACTTACTCTTTTTCTTTCAAACAAACTAGAAGTGGTATGATTATCTTATTTTGATGATTGAGCTTTATCATTATCTGCATCTTTAGTTTCAATTAGATCCCTTCAACATACCGACGGTACGTCGAAAGCATGACTATCTTATCCAGTCTGACATAGATATTGATATTTACCTTGGATTGCATCGAATTCATTGATTGTGCTGCTAGCTCTAGATTCTTGCAGACCATTTCTGCCCGCTTCTGATAGGCCTACAGGCTCAAAAGAATTGAGGCATTTCAATTTGCAGTACTGATCATACCGGATCTTATTAATTAGTTGCTCATCTGACCGCTGCAGGAGTCCATCTCACTGCTAATCGAATTGGGCTTTACAGGAATTGGCGGGGTTTCCTCAGCCATGAAGCCCGAATCCTTTTGCTTGACAGTTGCAATAGCCTCGGTGTAGTCTGCCACCGGTTGCAGAAACGATACTGTATGACATACGATAGGAATCATTGGGAGATATTTGGGACGAAGATACAGCAGCCACGTCCAAAGTTAAAAGTGTTGATAGAGGGGTGCTACTATGCTTGTTTGGACGGGTTCATTTGCAGGGCCTACCTGGACTGCTTCAAGATTCTAACGGCATCAGATATCCACCCAACAGAAAGATGCACTGCCTCCTCGGCCGTGATTGTCAATCGAGGGGGTTTAGATGGGCGTCACGGGTCGCATGTTTACCCGATAAGGTTTTGTTAGGACAAGCCTTCCAATGTGTCGGTATGAGATAAATGATGTCTCCCAGCCCGGCTGTGAATCTCGATCTAAGAACCATATTAACTTGACTCATGGCTGCGTAAGGAACGTGTGGTTGGCTCTTGAGCTTCAATTAGATGGTGATTGACAAGGAGATTCGTTGTAGACATGACTGTCACTATTCCCATGTATTTGGATTATGGGGAAGTACCCTAGGTGACGTTGAAGAGCATTTGACGTTACTCCAGCGGCATGGATTCCATGTCTTAAGATTAGAGTTTGTGCTGCCATGGGATCGCGGTCAACCATTGCTAAATTACTTACGCACACTTCGGAAACAGAACTACCGTGCTCATCTAGTCTAAATGGCCAATTTCAGCAAGTCAGTAACCAATATCTGAAAACTAATACACGAATTCTTCTAATTGAGATATTAGCTATGTCGAAAAGTTTGTTTAGTTGAAGATATTTTGATAAAGCTAGAATTGATTGAAGTTGAATTTTCTATTTAGATAAAGTTGACGAGGCACGAAAATCGCTTCTTTTTTTTGGAAACGAGTTATTAAATCAGGTGTATCTTATCGTCGAACGTTACTTTACCTGCTACCCACTCCTCTGGAATGCCGGTAGAGTTTGCCGAAAAAAAGTAAATGAGAATATTTTGATATTCAGCATGGATGTGAATCCGTTTTTTTTTTTTTTTTTTTTTTCATTCATTATCCGGTTACTGGGTATCGAGAACTGATCGTCTTCTCATGGTGTAAGATTGATATTGTTCGGTATCAAGGTAGAAAATTGCAATGCTACTGTAAAAACAAGGGAAAACCGCCATTCGCCTAAACATCATGATATTTGAAATATGCCCGAGAGAAGATGAGAAGCTCTAGCCCAACTAGGATGTGTTAGTTTGGCTTGGAGAAGATCCATTCTGAATGTCAGTGGGTATGCCGAAATCTGAAACGTATGATAGGAAGCCATGATATATCGTATGCCTCCTAATTTGGCAATCACATGCTCTATCATGGAACCAACCGCCAGGAACGGAGAACTGGTTCCAATATTAGTTGCAGATCTTTGCTTCTCTTCGTGTTGAGCTTGAACTGGGGCGCTTTAGGATATCCAGGGTAGTAGACAACATGGATTGTTCTCCGAATTCTCCTCAATAGAGGGATAGATGCATCCTCATCAATCCACTATTTCACAGTCATGTTGGAAGAAAACGATTTACAGACAACTTCCTTAAATCAGGTTTTAAAATAGAGGCTGAAAGGGTATGTGCGTGCATTCAACGTTGCATGTTCAGAATGTTTTATATGTGTACTCTATTGAGGGATACAGGCTTGGATCCGGGAAATTCTCCGAGTTCCGCTGTAGTTGCACACCTCTATGATGCCCACCATCAATGCTTGCTGTAAGTTTGCGACGGCAAGCGGTAAGAAAACGCAAATACGTGTGACTGGAACCTCGAACAGACAGCAAATTGATGCCCCTGTAACGATCACAAGATATTCGCAAACATTACTCCAAGAATAGTTCGGCGATTGACCCGAAAAATCGATATTACCTTCCAGTTTTCATATTAACCACGTTGACATACTAGCAATATACCCAGGGATCGGAATTTTACGAGCAAGGGGTGCGAGAAGGTTAGGGCGTCTGCTCAGGACCAAGAGATCATGTAAAGAAATATGTCCAAGGCTACCAGAAGTCTTTCCCCGATGTTAGACAAGATCAGGTACGTATCCGCCGCTCCGGGAGTATAATGAAACACTCTGTAACGCTCCACCATGTTCAATGGCGACGTTCGGTATCTACCTCACAAACCCTTCGTATATAAAATGAGCTCACAAACAACTTCGGGGGTGACGTTGAGTGACAGATTGACAGTTGATGACTCGGATAAATTCTAAGGAAAATATGGGAAATGCCGTTCGTACAAATTCAAAACTGAAGACCCGGTGAGGTGACAGTAGCACCAAGGGGAGAGGAGGATTGTGGAGCCTCAATGAACAAGTTATCTTCATTCCTGGGTCTACTCCCATGTCACTAGTCAATTCAAACATTCGGATAATGAGACCAATGGCCGGGCAATTATTCAAGACAATGCCTCAACCTCAGTAGTCGGGCCATGACCCCCCTTGTGCGTTGCCATTTGTAGAATGTGGTATGTAAACCTACCCTACCAGCGACCATCGACTCCCCAGAAGTTGGGCCTTTGGTTGTGTTACTTGTACAGATGAAGGAACTCGGAAATACAGAGATGGGTGAGAGATAAATTGTGCTTCGTTGGATCATAGATGTGAATTTAAGTATAAGGTACCTGGGTTTTCTCGGATTTCGCCGTCTAGCGATTGGCTCCCTCCTGCATAGTCCTTGTAAAGCTGTTGCATTTTAAGACTCCACCACAGAACACAATAGCCTATGGAATTCAATCAACCTCTATCTCCCTTCAAAGGATTGGCTAGAACATCAAGAACGTCGGGTCTTTTGGTCTTTTACTTTGACCGCCAGCAAAAATAGGATGAAAAGTTTCTGCCATTTTTCGGTCATTACCACCTTTGTTCAAAAAAAGTCAATAACTATTACCATACATCGTCAAAGTTCGTGATTAGACCATAACTTTGCATTGTGTCAATTCCCTGACACCTCTGCCCTAGAAGAAGGGAAAAAGGGCAAAAAGATAACGATTGGTGAAGTAATACTGTGCTGTAGTTTGATATCTATCAAATATTAATGGCCGTAGGCCCGAGGTATTTCAATTTTGCTATCTGTGCTATTTGGTGGGTTGTCCCTTTGTAAAGCGTAGCCCTCTCTATCAAGGTTGATATTCACTCAGTATTCACGATATTGATCATTCATAAAAGTCATTGTTGGATCTTCTTCTTTCCTAGAGCAATTGATTTTCAATAAAGGTGCCTTTCGATAACCAGCTTGTTACCCGAATAGACACGAACAGAGCAGACAATACACTTTGCGATCTCGATAATCCGACTCAAATAACCATATCTTCCTCACTCAAACCCTTTCAATATACAATAATTCAAGATGTGTGGTGAAAACATGAAGCAATTCCTGAAGGAGCTCCCAAAATGTGAGCATCACATTCATATCGAGGGGTCTCTTTCTCCAGCGCTCTTATTCGAGCTGGCCAAAGCAAACAATATCGCCCTTCCAGACTCTGCGACTGATGCCTCCTTCAAATCTCCCGAAGAACTCGAGTCTCGCTATGAACGCTTTACTTCCCTCAACGATTTCCTCCATTACTACTACATTGGCATGTCAGTTTTGATAAATGCTGCGGATTACGAAAGTCTGGCCTATGAATACCTCACAAAAGCCAATCGCGACGGAGTTCACCATGCCGAAATTTTCTTCGATCCACAAGCACACACTGAACGTGGAATTTCATACAAGACTGTTGTTGATGGTCTTACTGCTGGATTGAAGCGTGCTGAGAAGGATTTCGGTATCACCTCAAAACTCATTCTATGCTTCTTGCGACACTTGCCTGCTGAGAATGCAAATGCTACATATCAGGAAGCATCTTCGCTTGGTCACTTTTCAAATGGAACCGTAGCTGCTATTGGTCTTGATAGCAGTGAGATTGGGTTCCCACCAGAAATCTTTAGAGAGATCTATGAATCCGCGGAAAGCAAAGGAATTCATCGCACCTCGCACGCTGGTGAGGAAGGTGACACCTCTTATATTTCCAGAGCACTGGACATCTGCAAAGTTGAGAGAATTGATCATGGAATTAGACTGGTTGAAGACGAAAGCTTATTGAAGCGGGTTGCAGGGCAGGGAACAATGTTTACAGTCTGCCCACTAAGCAATGTTCGCTTGAGGTGTGTTGAAAATGTTGGACAATTGCCAATTCGAAAGTTCTTGGACGCAGGGATTAAATTCAGCATCAACAGCGACGACCCAGCTTACTTTGGTGGTTATATCTTAGATAATTATGTTGCTGTTCAAGAAGCATTCAACTTGAGTTTAAAGGAGTGGAAATACATTGCAACCAGCGCAATCGAAGGAAGTTGGTGCGATGATGAGAGGAAGTCTGTGCTCTTAAGCAAGGTCGACGCATGTTTCAATAAGCATGAGGCATTGATCTGAAGGAAGGAATGAACAAAAGTTGAGTCGGCATTTCCGAGTCTGGATTACATCTGGAACGTTGCAGATATACTGGTGCTTGCAATCATCACTTTCGGGTGCACATCTATATTCAACTTCATTTCGCGATTTTATATACACAAAAAGGAGAGAATCGGCGCTGGGACTGGAAAAAATAATTGAATGAACACATATATATATATATATCACCTCGCTTCCCCTTGCTAATCTGTGATCTTCTTCGACTCAATACACCATTGTGTTCTGTGGGTGACTCGGTGTTGAAATCTTTACTAATGTCGTTGAATTTGACGTTTTACTCAATATACTCCAGCTGCGATTTCGGCCTTCATCTTATCATGAGAAGTGGGCGCACTGAATATGGTGAATTTCTTATATGATATGATTCACAAGCAAGATGGTCAGGTGCCGACTTGCATCATTCGTTTATTTACGACGGCAGGAATATCAAGGAACGAGAGGAAAGAAGGCTTGCTTTTGTGTCTGAGATAACTTCGTTCCGTTTCTGTGCTGAAATCCACGACATGGTCATACAACTTGAACTACTCTAGCTTCTTGTAAGTTTCTATAACATTATTGAAAGGCCAAATCTCTAATATTCTTGATTCTCAGAGCAACAAGAGACTGAAAAGCGACCACCAAGCCAGCCAGTTGACTCGTGAAATCTACTATCCTTAGGCTCACTTTTAGTGAAAAGACATCCCAATAGTCAGCTCCAATGGGGAAATCGGAGTTGATACCCAAAATACAGCCAAAGAAGAGGGTACGGCCAGTCTCCAATCCCCTCTATACTAATGAAGAGGCCTTTTTCTGCAACATCCTCAAGCATCATCATGTGTGCCCAGGAGAACAGTTTCCTGCCTTCGACCGCCTCTATTCTGTATCTTTAGAGCACGGAGAAGGTTTCTATTTGGGATGTCAAACATTCTATACCTTCACGTTGGAATTCATGGATCCAGAAAAATGTGAGAAATCTACCGAGATTGCACCTCCTACTTGTCAAGTTGTGGTTCGGCCCAAGTCTTACAAAAAGCCTGCTAAATATGACATTCAACAATTGACGCCGATTGATGAGTCCAGTGAGTCCACCGAAACTATTGAAGAGAGAACGAGAAATGGTCGGCCATGCTTCTCAATGACAATGTTCCCTAGACAAGATTTCGATCATCGGCAAGATGAACAGCTCGGAGTGGTCTCTTCACAAATGCCTGCTACAATTCCGAACAATAAAACTTTATTACTCGGAATCCCACATTATTCAATCCCTCCTTTATCCCCAATGTCGAAAATGATTCAGGATCTTGAGTACCCATCATTATTGGTACCCACAGAGACCTGTTCAAGCGAATCACTTGATTCAATTCATGGTCAATTGTTGAAGCCATCAATCGCCGAAATCAATGGAATTGAATCAAGTAAAGACAATGGACTCCACGCCATCTCTATTCACTCAATTTCAGCGAACCCCGCACCAAAGGTACCTGATGAAATTCAACCGACGTCCCAGTTTCCTAATCTTATATACGATACTCGAACCGATAGATACATCGAGAAATCAAAGGCTGGAATCGAAGAATACTCTAGACTCAATGACGATCTAGCAGTTGATAGCATGCACACAACGACTCATGAAGCGAGGGGAGAGAAAGGCATGGTCGTGAGCCGAATAGTGGACCATCCTGAGGCGGCAATTATGAAATACACAAATTCAGATGGTACAATGGGAATTCGACCTTTGAGGATGAAGTCACAAGTTCAAGACAATGGTTTATACCGAGAATTTAAGGTTGGACTCGGAAACGAAAGTGCGGAAGACGTTGTTAAACGACATTTGCGAATGGCTTCAGAGCCAGAACGACTTGTGATTCCAGGATCAGATCAGCATATTGGCCCATTGAGAGCCGATACAATACCGATCAAGAGAATCGCGAGACATTCATCTGCGAATTCGTCCCGGAAACTTGAAGACTCTCCGACCTTATCCCGCAGAAATTCCCGCCGCAGGAAGGCCGGCCCAATCTACTTGCCGGCTTGTAGCGAGAACAGAGATGGAAGTCCAAAAAGACCCCTTTTCACTCCAGTCAATACAAGATCGCCATCACCAAGAGCTCATCCAGTTCGTTCGCCTCCACCAATGGATCGTCCATATCGTCATATGAGTCAACTATCCATAAACAACGCACCTGGTATTGATAGCCCCTCAACACAAGATCGTGGTTCGGTTGAAAGTGATATTTCTTCAGTCGCGGTTGATGTTACTTCTTTCGTACCGCCAAGAGCCACTACACCATCTCCAGCCATTGATATCACTTCTGTCATGCCACAGTTAAAGACTACCAAGTCCCCAACTATTTCTGGGAGCCCAATAAAGGTTCCAACCTATACCCTTAGCCTCCCTAATATCTTCTCATCTCCATCACCAATTGCTCCACCACCTAAAGTTGCATCCGCAGTTCCCGCTGCTCCCATGTCGAAGTCCAATTCTACAAACATCCTATCTGCCCCTATCTTCAATCAGATAAGACATGGTATCACTTCATCGATATACTCCCTTCACATCCCTGAATCCTTTCCTCACAATAATGTTCATATACAGCCTCAGATTTCCAGGATTCCCAGCGTCCCATCTCCACCAACTACGCCAACGGCTAGCCTTTTTCGGTCCGACACAACCAATACGAAGAACACAGTAAGTACTGTACCCAGTACACCCACTCAAGGTACTTACAGCCACAGCCGCCACAATACATATTCGACAGATCTATCTAGCATTGCATCACCCATGACTAGCCCGCTTTCCAATGTCAAACCGTCCTCCGATGCTGATCCATTTCGGATCCCCAGTCCATCTCTCAATGCTTTTTCATCTCCAAATGCCGCTCCATACGTCAACCCATCGCCCATACCCTGTCCCCGCAGCAATCTCAGCGAAGAAAGCATCGCCTTAACCGAACATCTAGTTCGAGAGGGTATCTACGGCGGTATCGTCTACGACATCGCTGCTTCTCCCAATCTCTATCCGACTCATCCAGAACCACCAGTTCCCCATCTCACAAAAAAGCTTACTCCCTCTCAACTTCAACGCAAAAAGAAACGCGCAGCCCGCAAACTCCAATCTGCGCTACGAAAGCGCGCAAAGGCGGAGAAAAGAGAAAAGAAAGCTGCAGCGAAACAAGCTAAAACTACGCTTAAAAGAATAAAATCCCGAACTAGGAAAGCGAAACTAGCGGTGCAGAGTAAGAAAGGAACGTTGAATTATCTCACCATTCGCGTCTTCTTCAGGAGCTTAGGAAATGGAGTTAGAATGAAGTGGCAAGGAGCTAGACGGAGACTGAGTCAGGTACAGTTTTCGAAGGTTCTGGGAGCGAGACAGGAGAGAAAGGTGGCGGGTGATGGATTTGATTTTGTTTGTAGGGGAGAAAGCGAGGATAAGAATTGGGAGGATGTGAGGATGAGTGGTGGGGTTTTGGAGCCGATGGCGAGTAGAGAGGGTGAGGAGATTACGGAGTCGAAGGTGAAGGAGTGAGTATAAGCACGCTGTATATTACTCACTAGTATACGCTCTTTACGATGAGTATTTCTTTTGTTTCTGGGCTGTGGATGGAGTTGGTACTAGATTTGACTAGTACTGGCATTCGAAGATATTCATCATGGATAGACAAACTCTTAGGTCATTCAGATATTAGATTAGACTAGATGTGTAGTTTTCCTTTCTCTCGGGATTTTCTCAGCATGCGCGTTAATGGAGTTTCATGGATTTGAAGGGAGGATTTAAAGGCGTTGCTACTCACCATAAATTTTGGATCTGGAAAGCAAGTACACGGAGGATTCAACATGATACCCATGCATTGTGAGGATATTTTTATCGATCTTTAGGGGATGGATATATTACGATCAAGATGCATTATGGAGGCACAGGGTAGATGTTTAGAGCCATGATATATTATGCGACGTTTTACCATTTTCTCGCTATCTAGCTACTCGGTTGGTAGAAAATTTGAACTTACATCATAATTCTATTTTGAAGTTTGAACTTACATTCACAACTACACTCGCAAATGACAGCCCACTTCACATCATGTAATGAGCTTTGGGATGTTCTTGGACCATACACATCCATTTGATAGATTGTGAGACTTAATTCGTAGAAATCATACCTGCAATGAATCCACCGACAAGGAAGAACAAACCAAAGGAAGCAACAATTACATTTCCAACCCCAAATCACACCATCCGGCCGGTATATTAGCGCTTGACAGACGATGATACTCTCTGCCATCGTATCTATCCTCAGATTTTGCACCCAGCATTTTCGAGCTTTCCACATTTCTTCGCACGTCCGTCTCCGCATCTTCAACGCTTTTCCCCTTCCCCTCCTCCCTCTTCCCTCGTCTAATCCCCATACCAACCATTTCTTCTCTCACCCTCTCTCTATTCCTTTTCGCATCCCTCGCACACCCTTCACAACTTCCTTTGTCTTCAACCACCTGTGCAAGACCGGTTTCGAGCCCGATTCCAAGCCTTGCAGTTTCCCATGAACATACTTTCTGCCTCTCTTTGGCGCGGGGACAAATGGAGACGGGATTGTAGTTTGAGTGCGTAGACGGGCAGAGCTTATAGTACACGTGTATGTATCTGCACATTTGGTGAGCCGTTTAATTTTGGGGTTTAGATGGTGTGCTGGATCTGGTTGTTACTTGCACATTGTACGAGTGTGTAATCAATTTAGGATACGGCTAATGTGAGCTTCGAACTTATGAGGTACTAGTTAGTTCCAAAAGAGGGAAAGAAATAAGAAAGTTTTAATATGGGTCATGTCTTTCTATTGAGATTTTGTTGAAAGCATAGTAAATGCTGACCCTATGAATGGAAATCCCCATTTCGCCCTTTTGTAGTAGATGTCAAGGTAATGGTACGACAACAAACCCTATGTTCAGATATTTGGCACAGATACAACAGAGAACAAGCTTGAATGCAATACTTTTGCTTATGATGGGAATCATCCAAGTGTTCAATTACTTTTCATTTCCCAAGCCAAATAACTCCGATACCAAGGTATCTTTCACCATCCAGTCTATATCATGAACCCCTCCCTATGCAAGTCATTATCTTTGAATCATCAACTTCGTTCCACTTTTACATGTAGTACACTTGGCTCTTTGTCCTCTATCTGGGTAACAACGATATCCAGTCCAGTATTCAGAACATCTGGAATACGAGACAGAACGAAACAATGATAGCTGTTTTCTCCATTCAAAGCCTTGATCGCACCAAAGCAGAATCACCGCATTCCCCTCCTTTTTTCAATAAAAGGGACCGGTGGAACAGGAGGAATTGTTGATTTCCCCTTTCCACTTGCCGTGTGCACACTTAATCTCTGCGCTTGCAATTCTCGATCGATACTCAGGAGATTCTTTACTATTTCCGCGAATGAAGATTTTCTTGCTAGCTTTGTTGTGTCAGTATGGGTTTATTCTTTGTCTGTAACCTTCTCTGGTTTTTGAACAGTTTCTGATAGCAACTTGCGTTGTGAAGAAGAAGAAGAAGAAGAAGAAGAAGAAGAAGATAGAACTCTCAATTTTGAGATTTTAAGAATCATGCCAAACACCTCACAGTCAAAGGATAGAACTTACCAGCCGACTGCCCTCTTTCTCTGCCTTACACTTAACACAAAATCCATCCACCCACCTCTCTCTGAACTCACTCTCCAACTTTATTCCTCCTGCGTTCTTTTTCCACTTCCCTTCGTCCCTCCTTTCCCTTATCATTAGATTTTCTTGGTTTTCCTGACCCTCTGCTTCCCTCTTCCACCTTTCGAATCGTTCCCTGTCGAACCTGCAAGGTGGATTCTCGTATCTCCCACCTCCAGAACTCATTCTTCTGTTCAGTGACCCCGGACATCGTTCCTGTAGTAATAGAGAGGTGTGTGGACAAGCATGATGGGTTATGATGTAGATGCACATTTTTTTCTAAAGAAGAGGGTCAATGGATTTGATAATGTGTCTTTCGATCGCTTGTGCTCTATGGCCGTGAAATCCTTAGGTGTTGCTCGTTCTCTTGATGTTATATCGGTATCATCGACGCTCTTCTAGATTCTTTGTTCTTCCGGATGTAAATGCAAATCCGAATGATCCTGATCCAACCAACTAAAACACTCCTGAGAAGTTCTTCTCCCCGTGATTCTGGAGCCGTAATGTCGTCAAATGCTTCCAATCCGGGGTTTCCAGCTCAAGAAGACAGAAGTTCCAAATTCTCAAAAGCAGTGGTGCTGTATCAAAAAATCATGCACCAGCAGCTCTATCTCCGTCTCAACACACTACTGTACACGCAAAAATTCTCTCTAGTGAATTATGACCGCCCCAAATTTCTATCCTGATATCGGTTTTTATTCGTTGAATCTTCGTAATATACCTCGGTAGCCCACTAGAGATGCCGTCGCGCAGAATTTCAATTATTCAAGTAAATGGTGACTGGTGATCGAATGGTGTTCCTTTGTTTGAAATTCAAGACGTGATTCACTTCCAAACTCATCTACCATTCCAAATACAAATAAACATGCAAATTTTGTTTCGTACAGCACATGAATTACACGTGTGATTACAACTCCACCTATATTTCCAAAGCCATGATAATATTCACTTCCCTAACATCCTTCATCTATTCTCCGAGACTTCCGCTGTCCTCACGAGCCACATCTAGTGAACAACCACAAGTCTAGACCCAGATTTCAATTTATTCCGAGTTTCTTTGGATTTCCTTTGATTTTTTTATTTCACCCGAGATCCTAGATTTTATGGGTATCTACATCCCATAGCATCCTTGGACTTTTATCCCTGGATTTTGCAGTTTTGCTGCGAAAACGCGAGGATAATTCCAAATTGCGAAGCTTTTTTGTTATATATATATCTCTTCATGCACAAAAAGCAAGTTCCTAGTGGTCGTTGTTTAATACAAACGTCAACTAGTGGTGATTTATTATTAATTGTGAACCTGACGAGTGGAGTTCCCGAGAGGAGATTGCCGATTTATAGATCTAATAAATTCGTCATTTCACAGAGTTTAGTAATTATCGCAAAGATTCCTTTTCTTAATCTGCGCTGCCCCTGCAGATTTATGGCGACAATGATACATGCTAAGTGCCTCTTTTCTTTGATAAACACAGCACTCTTTCAGGGCGATGCATGCCGATGTAACTTGTGAGAATCTCCCTTCAACAGCATCTCTCAATAAGTATATAGTTCAGCTGGTTGCTAGAACATGTGTATCACGTCTTTGATACCAATTCAGACAACCGAGGATGGGAAACTGAGGGATCATAGAGGATGGACGTATCAGGTTTGACTCGAAGGGAAGATGGCAGAGATTACATGAATATTCAGTGTTGTATGGTGGCTAATTAACTCCAATGGCTCAATGATAGTAAATCCATATTAAGCAAGCGAGGTATTTAAGGGGGACATGAGATGACAGGTTTGTGGTGTTCGCAGGTTCGTTGGTAGGTACCTATGTTTGGTACGAATGAGATTCGAAAGTCAACATCATACATAAAACCGCATAAATGATTGCATAAAATGCCAAAGTTATGCAAAATTTATGCGCAACCTCGGTACGAACGCTCGATGTTCCCCTCCCCCGCATAATAAAGAATAAAGTACCCCATACATATCTACATATCTCGATATTTCCACCCATACTACGAGCTCATAAGCTTCTCAAACATCTCCAAATCATCCACAATGACCTCCCCTCCCCCCACCACCTGGCAACAAATCTCCCACCGCAAACAAAAAACCAGACAATCCCTAATTCCCACCCCCTGGCTCCTCACCTCTCCCCCAGCCCCCTCCGTCTTCAACGTTCTCTCCATCCCCCGCACCAGCGGTATCCTCACCCCCTCCGAACTAAGCATCACCGAGTCCTACGACGCTACATCTCTTTCCACCGCGCTCCGTTCCCACGAACTCACCGCTCTCGAAGTAACCATCGCGTTTTGTAAACGCGCGGCCATCGCTCAACAAGTATGTAATTGTCTGACCGAGATATTTTTCTCCGATGCTATTGCTCGTGCTAAATGGCTTGATGCCGAGTTCGCGAGGACGGGGAAGGTAATTGGTCCTTTACATGGTGTACCTGTGAGTCTGAAAGATACGTTTAAAGTGAAAGGATATGATGCTTGTATTGGAATTGCTTCTTTGGCTGGAAATCCCGCCGTGGAGAATTCGTTACTTGTGGATATATTGCTAGAAGCTGGTGCGGTACTATATTGTAAGACGAATGTACCGCAAACATTGATGGCGTTGGATTCAGATAACAATGTATTTGGACGAGTTTTAAATCCGAGGGATAGGAGACTCACTGCTGGAGGTAGTTCTGGGGGTGAAGGGGCGTTGATTGCAATGAGAGGGAGTGTATTGGGAGTAGGTACAGATGTGGGTGGTAGTATTAGGATTCCAGCCATGTGTAATGGTTTGTATGGGATCAAGCCGAGTGCTCAAAGAATACCTTATCTAGGACAAGAAGGTGGCCAACAACCTGGGGTATCGAAGATTGGACTGCCTGCAAGTGCAGGACCGATTGCGAGGAGTGTGAGAGATTGTGAATTGTTTCTACAAGTAGTATCTGATTCGAAACCATGGGAACGAGATCCAGATGTAGTGTATGGGATGTGGCAAGAGCAGGGCACGATTCCAGAGAAGGAGAAATTAGTATTTGGTGTTATTAGAACAGATGGAGTAACAACACCACTTCCTCCTATCACCAAAATTCTCAACGAAACAGTACACAAACTCCAAGCTGCTGGCCACTCAATAGTTGAGATTGATGCTCCTGCATTTAAGAAATGCCAATCGCTTGCCAATCAATTCTTCGGCATCGATGGCGGAAACTACATGTTTGATCTTCTTGAACAAACATCCGAACCGCTTATCCCATGGTTATCCACACGTTTGAGACGGAAATCCCCAATTGCTCTCCCAAAACTTGTGGATATTCATGCCAAGAAAGTAGAAATAGAAAGGGAAATGCTGAAGATCTGGAACGATACTAAGATGGGTACCATCGATGCTATTATTTGTCCTGTGGCTCCGCATCCTACACCGCCGATTGATAGCTGGAATGCTGCAGGTTATACGAGTAGTTTTGTATTATTGGATTATCCATGTGGAACATTACCAGTGCGAGATTTCCAGGAAGCGGATTTGGAAGGAGAGTTGGCGGAGGAGGTGGGAGGAAGTTGGGATAAAGCTAATAGAGAGTTGTGTAAGTTTTCATCTCAAGGGATATAGTGGTTATCGTGCTAATGGAACTGAATAGGGGACAAGAAAACGATCGATAGAAGAGTATATCTTGAATCGACACTTTGCGTTCAAGTCATTGCACCGAAAATGCAGGAAAAGAGATTGCTGAAGGCAATGGGTGTTGTTGATGATGTTCTGCATGCAGAGGGACTCGGAGGGAGGGCGAAACTGTGACGAATATCTAGATTTATCTATGGCTAATTACTATTCATCTCATTTTCCGCTTCTAGATTATCTTCTCTCCTGTCACCTCTGCTTTGCTAGCCCCGTTATCCCCTCTCCTCTCAACCCTATATTTAGCAAACCTCCCTCTTAATGGATGGATATAACTAGAGGCAGAATTAAGTGTAGAATTCCTCGCACCAAAACGACAGGCTAGAAATTTGACCAGAACTATGGTTGTTTTTTGACGCCTCAGCCCCAACTATTTCGTTCGAAATAGACCTAGAACACTGGTTTCTACCCAGAATGCTGTCTAACAATGCCACACTATCATCCAATGCCCACCCTCTATCTCCACTGATATTCCACCCCTAGCATCTCAAAGTGTCCTCATCCAGACCTCTATCAACTACTCCTGACCATCTATTCCAATCTCTCCAAGTCTTTTCATAACCTCAAACTACCGACTCTAAACTCTAAAACCATAAAGCAAGCAATCATACCATATACCATCATTAAAACCGCCCCTTTCAACCTGTCACCTCTCTCCCCAAAACTAATTAGCAATCGCACTGTTACCAACACTCCATCTCACATTTTATTTCGTCTCATCCAATCTAAATCCAAATCCAACTCCAAATCCACATAACAAAACACAACACTACACAACACAACAATCAAACAACCTCACACACCACCACTTCCTCCCATCTCCATCTCCAATCCTCTATTACACCAGCAAACAAACAAAACCCAAACGAATCCATCAAGATTGAGAAAGCAAATCTACATTCACATCATCTAAATTCACCACCCATTCTTTCCCCATCCAACAAATACCCAAGCTAGCACCACCACACCCAACGCCATATGAATTTTGGATACTCTTGCCTAACCCAATGACACTAGCATCTCCATTTGATCATTCCATACACACTGATGATGAAATTGGATTGCCATCACCATCATATTTAGAACATAGAACATAGAACATAGAACATAGAACATAGAACATAGAACATAGAACATAGAACTTAGAACATAGAACTTAGAACATAGAACTTAGAACATAGAACATAGAACTTAGAACTTAGAACTCACAACTCAGATTCGGAAGTAGTACATATCATGCCGATGAAACCACAATCACGACTCACGAGGTACGAGGAACGATTGCCTTTTTAGCAAGTTCCTGGATACTACATATCTGACATTCATCAATCGTGGATTGAGTGAATTTGATTGCCAGGATTGCTGTTCCTAAATCAGTATATATGGAGAGGTAGATATAGATATAGATATAAATATAGAGGTGCAATATAGACCTGGTATTCGTATCCTGTTTGGAAAATTCAAGTGCACCAATTCATTGTTGGGGAAAGTCCAGAAACATATAGAACAAAAAGAGGAGCATTGAGAAAAAGAGGCGCTTGTCCTGGGTTTCTTCTCTGATGTTTCTATTCTTCCCCCCTTAGCTCTTCATCCCCTCTCCTCTCCTCCCCACTCCCTCTTCCCCTCCCCCGTCACCCACCTACCAAAAAAAAGCAAAAAGTAAATTCAACATACAACAGTAGGGATTCGCTGGTGGTCACCCACCCAACTACTAATCTACCGATCTGAAGCTTGTGTATGGCGGAGCGGACGGGATGCCCAATTCTCTTCAGTCTATGGTCGTATGTGGCAGAGACGTTGTTGAAAGAAGATATATTGGCATTTGCTGTGTAACATACACACTTCGAAACACCCTGAAAATCTCCAAAATGAATCTTTCAAGCTTGATATAAGAAACACCTCATCCTACCACATTCGAAATTCAAAATTCCACTTCCCCTTCCTTCTTTCTTCCCAGAACCCCGTCGCAAACCCACATAAACAACACTCAGACTTAGATTCCCCCTTCAGGAATCGTTCTCTTCTTCCTTCCCTTCTGCGCCTTCTCACACAACTTTGGTTTCTCCCCTTTCGTTTCCCACCCTTTCTCTCTCTTAACCTGTCCTATCTTTGGATACTTTCCACTATTTTCAAAGAAACCTATTATCACACGCACAAATTAGCCAACATACTCCAAACGTGCCCTCCCACTGCATCTTTCTCCCTTCCTCCATTCCGCGCCCCCCTGCCCCGCTCTCCACTCGAAAATCGCAGAAGCAGTAAACACAAAACCCAAGACCCAAGACCCACGAAAAAGAAGAAAACAATTTAAAAAGAACCCACCAATCCAATGCCCCAACGCATCCCTCACCCCCTTCGCCGCCTCCCTCCTCTCCTTCTCCCTCAACTTCTTCATCCCCCCCTTCCCAACCTTCTTCAAAATTTCCGCATCCGTCTCCTCATCATCCACCGGCAAAAACATATCCTCCACACCCCTCAAATCCGGCGTCCGATCCTCCTCAAAACAATTCGTCACAAACGCTCTCGTCGCATCCACGCCCGCGAAAAAGTGATAACTGCCTCCCGGACCATAATGTCTGCGTCCCGCCGTAACATCATAGATCGTGCCATTGAGCGCGAGATAGATTGGAAGATCTGGGTTCGAGCCGTCGAAGCGCGGGAGATCTGCGTCGGTGATTTGGGGAGGTCCGTTCTGGAAGGGAGTGTGAGATGTTAGTTATTTATTCCCAATTCTAAAACAGCGTTCATGATTCTCAAGCTGTCCTATCCTCTGCCCTCCTCTTCTCTGCTCTCACACCAAGCTCCCTAGCTAGCAATTTTAAACAAAAAAGAAGATGAAGAAATCTACTAACCCAATATCCCTTCAAAACCTCTGCATGCGTCCAATTGGGCCTCTTCATTCCCCAAAAGTAGCTATTCCTCGTAACCACATAACTCAACCCACAGCTCGCAACTAGTACAAAAACGATCGATCTCAATAAATCTACCAATGAGAAAGGTGCTGCATCGTCATCTGCTGCTAATTTGTTAAGTGATTTCTTGGCTTTCTTTTCTGCCGACGAAGAAGCAGCCCGAGTCGAAGTTTTGGTGAGAGGAACCTCATCTTCTAGAATATCAATGGAATTTCGTTTGCGACGTTCACGGAGTGCGTCTGTATCGGCCATAGTGGGCGGATGCTAATACGTGTATGTATTGTGATGAAGTATTCAACTCGTGCTATATTGTGAAGGGGAAGCGGGTTCAGAGCTTAAATGGAGGGAGGGAATTGACAAGTGGCAGGTTCGTTGGAGATAAATTGATATGGGGAAGTTACGGACGGGTCTTGTGTAATAATAGCTTACAGCTTGGAGATTTAGCCTCGGAATTGCATAGTAAATGGAGTCGTCGTCATTGGTATTTTTAGGATTCGGAATTGGATTACATGTAGCCTTGGGGTAGACGGAAAGGGGGAGAGGGAGTTTTGAGCTGGGGAGAATTTGTCTGCAATTAAGGTTTTCTGGAGAATTGGACCAAGAATTGGTAATTGTGGTGATCTCAAAGGCTGAGATGTGGTTAAACTTGGTCCGGGAACTCTTTCCACCGTTCTCGTACTCGCACTCGCATTTTTGGTCTGGATCTTGCTCTGTCATGTTCTATTCCTTCAGATTAGTCTGCACTTTCAAAATCACATCTTTACCACGATATCACATCTGCAAAACATATATGAAGGCCCATCAAATTTGGCATCAATAAGCAAAAGGCTGAATTCGATATGCTACACCTGCTTGCCTTTCCTAACAAGTCCGAGGAAAAGTCATAATATAAAAACCCATCCGGATATCTCATGCCAAAACGTCCACGTACAATCCATAATCGTAATTTTGGCCGATTATTTCGAAGACGAGGTCATGACCATCGTGTATTGCCTTGATCGTTTTGAAGTTTTCCGATTATTGTTTTCTTTACTCGTCGGCTTGGATAGCACGGGCTGTTGAAAGAAATATTGTTAGCATTTTTATTCTGGGAATTGCCCCTTTGATATTTCTCTCTCCCAAGATCATCATCCCATTGATAGGAGATGATTCTACTCGAATGTCCTCGCGCTTGTGTCGAAAAATGATTTATCGGAATGTAAAAGACATACTGTAGATATCACCGGCGTGATGCTTGACAACAATCTTGATTTGTCCCTTCTCCTCCAATTCCTTCAAACATCTTCTGGCCAAAGATCCGTTGATCTTTAATCTATCGACCAAAACAGCGACGGTGACGAGACGGTAGGATTGAACATCTTTGGCGAGTCTGTCGGAAGTGGACTTATCGAGGATGACGGCGTGTTGAGCCTTGTCCTTGACTATATTGATACTTCATCAGTTTCCATTCGAAAATTCCAGGGTATGGTAAAATTTTAATGCGCACCCTTTCCCTTGGACCACTTCTTCTTTTGCTTCTTTGCGCCGGTGTTTGCTGGTGCCATTTTGTCGATTTGATGTTGTCGTGAAGGAAATGGATGTTTCTCTCAAGATCAATTCAATAGAGGTGGATTGATTTTTCAATTTAGGGCTTGTGTGTGCCGAGTGGAACAATCGCGCTAGTCTTGACATAACCATCACGTGATGATATCAGAATAGATAGAAAATTGAAGGAACATGTTCAGATTCGAAAAGGAAGAGAATGTGAGAAAATTCGGTATGCGGCTCCATTATAGATTGTAAATCAATCATCGATTAATATAAAGTCATATTCGAGTGACCGGTATTCAGGAATCGATTGAACGGGGGAGACCTTCAAAGATATGGACATGAACACCAAATGCTAGATGACAACACCTGTCGAAGCAAAATCTAAGCAATACAATACACAATAGCAATAGTAATCTACAAAATCAGCTATCTAGATTCTGTCTATAGCATTGCTTTTCGAGAGAGCCAACGAAGTCTTACATCAAAATTTCGACTTATAAATGGTATAATTATGGGCGCAAGCCCCCAAGCCCCCTTAGCTCGCTGCGCTCGAAGACTCTATCTAGATTCTTCATTGCCGCAAGCCCTTTCACTAAAATCTCAATGTTACTACCCATAGCAATATGCCAGTAATTATTGTACAGTGATCCAAAAGTTTGCTCTCCCATCAATTATCCCAAAAGCCTTGATCGCTGCAAAAACTTTTGCAAGGATATTATTCATTTGTTTGTTTCCATATATCATTTTGAATTCTATGTATGTTTATACCTCTAGCCTAGCATACTACCATATATGGCAAATTTCCTTTTTGTTCCCCAGGGCAATGTCTCCAACAAGCCTCATTTATGCAAATGTTTACATATATCCTTGCCACGCCATGCCATGTGTTGCTATGTGAAGATCATCCGCCTTTCGGGAGCATTCCTTTTATCCTTCTAATCTAAAAGTTCATCTTTTCCACTGTCAACACCTATATTACTGTCCGACATCTGTATACTCGATCTCCTACTTCCACCATCCGTGGCTGCTGCAATAGAGATAGCTGCATCCAACCAACTCTGCGATCCAGTTCTGAGAACAAAATATGGGTTGATTTCCTGACTGAAATATTTTTCTTTCCTGGTCGTACTTCTTGTACCACCTTCAAGGGCTGACATGGCTGCTCGAGTTGTTCTCATTCTCTTGGGTTTCGGTGCGATATTACCTCCATTTTGACTAAGCAGATTGCTCAGACGTACTCGATCTTTCTGAAGACGAGCATCGTAGGATACTATGGACCTAACATATGGAGCAACATCGAGTATAATGAGATTCATAGTTCGATCAAAGCAGCAGGCTTCAAGATTTCCGGTAGTCCAAACATATGTCTTTTCGGACTCTGAAATAGGATCAAAAGCCAAGCTCAAATCGCGGCGAGTAATAGTATTCCCAAAAGGACGTGATTGAGACCGAATAAGGCCTTGAACTTGTTTTTCGGTCAATCCATCCAGCTCTCGATGAATTTCCCATCCACGTTCAACATGTTGACGAATTTGAAGAACTTCCCTAGCTCGAGATTTCATCCAGAAAGCTATATTGATACTTGTCTCGTCAAGGGTGATTTGAGGCGACACGTCCAGTAATTGATTTGCCATAGTGTAATCTTCTCTCGCTTTGCTAGACATTTTTGGGTGACTCGCATCAATGGTGACCTTCTTTCGTTAGCAACGAGTGGATGTAATGCTGATAGAGGAAAACTTACTTTGTAGTCTGTGCCGAAGCTATTATGCGAGAAACAATCAGTAGCACTCATAGCTTCGGTAAAGTCGTCGTACATTGCTAAAGCAGCTCGTCTGGTGGCTCGCTCGTTGGTGTAATCCGTGATCTTGTCCGCCCAAGTACTAATATCTAGATTTTGTTGCCAATCGCCTACATCGATGCCCCAACCATTCCAAGCTTCATGCAAGGTCTCTTCTTCAATATCGATATAAGGCCATTGACTCTCAAGAGTGTCTTGAGAAAGCCAGCCCATACCAGTGTGATAAGTATCTTCGCTAACAACGCGATACTTCTTACCATGCTCATCTAGATCGCAACCCAACGGTAAGCGAGGATAAAACCACTCCATTCCAGCTTTACGATCTCCAACTGCAAATTGACACCAAAACTCCAACTCCATCAATGAACCACGTAGATCTAACGCTCGACTTTCATATAAAGCCTTGACCGCCTCGCGACAGATAGCATGACCTTCATTCGCTGCTACGAGTAGCATGTAATCGACAGCGAGATCAGTAGGCACTGTGGTGAAGCGTATAATTGCATGTAGAGATAGAGCAAGAATTGGTACCGCAGCCTCATCATTACAAGTCATAATAATCGGTCGCTTACTCTGAGCGATGAGAAGCAAAACTGTTTGCCAAAATCCTCTATCCTCCTCGAATAAAACATCAACCTCTTCGAGCAGTATCAAGGATTGTTGCTGTTTTTTTGGTGGTCCTTTTGTGGCGATTACATCCTTGTTGATGCCCGTTTTAGCTGCAGGTTGCTCAGCATCCTTACTCTCAGATTTCATCTTTGTCGGTTCTTTGGATGTAAAGAATGACTTCGTCATGCCTGTGCGGCCATTCTCTAGATCTTCAGCCATATCATTAGATGGATGTACCTCATTATCATTCTGGCATTTCGGCTTCGTTGGTGCTTTGGATGTAAAGAATGAGTTCATGGTGCCCTTGCTTTTAGGTTCTGGCTTGATTGGTGCTTTTGAAGTGAAGAATGAGTTCATGGTGCCCTGGCGGCCGCTCTTCACTTCATCAGCCACAGAATCAAACGAGTTTTCTTCGTCATCGTTCGCACTTGAAATCTGACCAACTTTGGATCTCTGGACTAGATGATTTCGGGTCATATCTCCAACTTTATCCATCACCTCTTTCCCGCTTCTCTTGGAATTTGGATTGATTTCGAAGACTTCGAATCCTAGTTCTTTTGCAACAGCAAAGACCGTGGCAGACTTGCCACATCCGTGTGGCCCGCTTAAAACGACTGCATTGGCTAGGCGCTTAGAATCTTTAGAGCCTTTTGCATTTAAATCACCAGATCGTATCACTGTTTTTTTGACCAAACCTGAACCTCCTAACAAATCCCCATCTTCCGGTTCCGTTATTTCATCCATCTCGTTATCTTCTTCGCCATCAGATACTATAAAATTATCCAGCTTTTTCGATTTTCGCTTCCTTTTCCCAGATGGTTCGCCTTTTGACGATGCAGACTTCTGTGTAGCCTTCATTTCAGCAGAACCTGACTCTACTGACATTACTGTCAATTTTTGCAACCAATCTTTCAATATGAGGGCCTCTCTTCCAGTCTGTAAGATCTCCTCGGCACTTTTGGGTGCATACTTCTGTGTCCAAGATATATTTTCGCATTCAGCTTTGTCAAATGCTGATAACGAAGTAGCAATTGAATTGTAAACATTTTTAAGAGCGGGGTGGGCATTTGAACGTCTTTTATCTGGCTCTTGGAGTTCGTCATCGCTCAAATCTTCATGGACAACCGGTCTGCTAAGCTTTGAGACAAGTTCTTTACGAACTCGACACTGGAGATCTGGCCCTGTTTCGACGTGTTTGGAAGGTACCCGGAGGCAAGGAGAAACTGGAGCAAAATCATGAATATGCAGGTCGTGGATGCTATTGATTGTCTCATCAATTTGCAATTTCGCCGTAAAAGTGTTGATAATATTTTCATCTTTAACGATCTCAACTTCTCGATATTTTGACCCTTTCTTGACATCGCTGGATTTCCCTGGAATTGTGCTGGTGGAGGAGCCCTTTAAATATTCTTCGTCTCTTTCTCCACGTACATGCACCATTCCAGACCATGGCCAAGCTGGCTCAATGGCGTCAGGGAATTTGGAGGTTTTGGGAGCTGTTCCGAAACCTCTGAATGTCGGAGGGGCTTGCTTTCCATCCCTTGAAAGTGGTCGGCCAAAATTGGATACAATTGTCGATGGTGAAGCTGGTCTACCCAATGTTGATCTCTTTCCTGTAGGAGATTTCTTTCCTTGACCCGATTGCTGTGACTTTGAGGATTCCTGGGGCTCTTCTTGTGTTGGTGATTTCTTTTTTGCTATTTTCCACCATGGAATAGCGTCAACCCCATTCCCCTTTCTCGAAACTATCTCTTTTGTATCCTTCACGTCCGGAAAAGTTGACTCGGTCTTCGGTATTGATAATTCGATGCCGTTGAGAATATTCTCAATCTTGCTACCAACTTTAGAAGGTGGATTTTGTTCACTGCCATAGCGTATGACGACAATTTTTGTTTTTGCAGGTATCAGGGTAGTTTGCTTGCGCTTCGAGGTTCGTAAAGCTTTTGCTGTTTTTGTCGGCGCAGTGGTCTTTGTGACCGTGGATGATTTTTCTGCCTCTAACTCTGTTGTAACTTCTGGCGAGGCAGTCTTTCGGCGTTTCCTTCTACCATTATTTGGGTCGACCTCCAGCAGATCTGCTTGTTCTCCATTTGGCATATGGGATAAGTCTAGAGCTCCATTTTGCGGTGTTACATTGTTTCCCGCAGTCGATGACGTTCTTAATGGCTTTTGAAAGAAGGGATGCACAGTCTTTTCGTGCCCCTCATCTATGAGAGGATTCATGGTTTTTGCGATCAAGACCGCCATTCGTATGCGACCAAGTCGAGATGATCAAACGCGAACTTCACACATTCGCTTTCAACGATAGCGACTTTCAATCGATCAATTCGTCAAGGAAAGTGAAACATTGGTAATATTTGTAAGAAGCTTGAGAACAGGTAGAGAATATAAATGAAAAGCCTTTTTGCAGAGAGTGAAAAAGTGATTGGGAGTGAAAAGCAATGTGCATCCAAAAGTTGCCGGGGACTTAAGTAATAAGGCAGTGACATCAAGGTGAAGTTGAGAACCGCGTTCGCGTTTTGGTGAAATTAGCACTTTAACTGCTGGTCTACTTTGTGCCCCATATGTGATAGGTAGATGAAGTACATGGAAAACTATTCACCCTTTTCAATATTCAATATAAAATCAAACTGTCAAGATTTCAGCTTGAATATTGTATGAAAATCTTCCTAACCTTCTGGATTATAAGATCGAGCTCAGAAGCGTAGTATTTCAGTTTACTTCCTCCATTATTCTTTGACATCGGAAGATAGATACCTTTTCAGAAAGCATTTCGATGTATGATTTTCTGACTGCTTGAGTGTACATTGTCGACCCACTTTACAGTCTTTTGCTCGCGTTTTATGAGTGCTGATTGGTGATTCCAGCCTGCAGAATAATCAATATCACATGATCGACACCAAACAAACACGGTAGAGTGTGCAAGGTGAGGTGTGCATAAGAAACATAAAGTTTTATGCTACGGCAGAATTATTTCACCGCCCAGAGAAATTTCAAAGCTTTTTGGTTCTTTTTACTGTGCGCAAATCTATAATTACTGCTTCAATACATTGGAACTGATTGCGTAAAAATTCCAATTGTTAATATGTCTTCGAGAATATCTTTACAGCAGCCATACGTGGTCGCTACTTTACCGCGATCAACACAGGCCCAATATGTAGTTGGGGAAGTCTTTGGCGGTTCACCTGGATCAAAAAAAAGAAAGAGGTCAGAATTGGCGGTTGGAATTCATGGAGAGGGTGTGAATTTATATGATGTAAGATATCATAGATAGTTCTTGAGTATCTTCAATCGTTAATGTCTTTTCAGGTATCATCTTCGAAATTACTTACCTCTTACGCTCTGCCTCCTGGCACTTCATTCTCTTGTCCGCCATACTCTTCCAGGTCGAAAACGACGAAAACCAGAACCGAGCGAAGAACATATGTTTCGACATCCGGCTCGGAGGATCAAATCACATTGTTCCATGATATTACGGAAGGGACTAGCACGTCACAATCTACATCAGTCACACACAAGCTCAGTCAATCGAAAGCGCCAGTAGTTCATTTGGGTGCTTTAGCCTCTTCCGGATTGGATGCGATCAAAAAGTCGGATATATTGATTGTGAAGAAAGATGGTGAGATTCAATGCTTAGATGGTGAAAGTCTTCAGCTATTATGGTCTTCTCCTGCCACCGCCCTCGGTCGAGCTTCATCAATGACAATGACCAATATCGAGGTGGAATATGCGCACATCACAAATGCCTATTCCGCTGGGCAGGGAATCTTGAAAGGTCGCCAGGATGTTTTTGCATTTTTCCCACAAGAAGTGACTGAGGATGGCTTCAATCCAGACATAATAATTGTGATTACAAAGTCAAATGTGCAGGAAGCTGGAGAAAGTGTGCGTACATTACACATTGTAGCGTTACCAAGGAAGGCAACGACATATTTGAATGGCACAACACATTCTGTCGAATCTCTTCTCGACGCCCCTCTACCAATTCGCAAAGCTCCAAAGAAGAAAGCAACAGTTGGGAAAGCTTCCTTCGGTATCAACGTTTCCGCCGGTATTTTGCAGATATTGGAAGCGGAAGTGTTGACAACTTTGGATTTACATGATACATTCCCAAAGATACAATCCGAAATCAACACTCCTGGTACTGGGTCATTCCTTCGCCTTTCAAGCACTTCTATCATCATGTCAACTCAACAAGCTATTAGCATTCTCAATCCAAAATACGAGTCTGTCTTGGCTACCATCAAGTTGGATGATGAGACAAACAAAGAATCACTCAAGCGCAAACGAGACTCTGACGATAAGCAGAGACCACGATTGGATATTCCTGCTCAATTCATATCTTACTACCCCAAACTTGGGACAGCTTTGGCTATCTCAGATAATGAGCTCGTTGCCGTTCAAGTGGATTTCCAACCTGGCCAAGGATCGAAATCTCGAGCATTTGGACTATTGATCGATTCTCTTGGCTGCTCGGATCCACAAGTTGTACGTGCCAAACCCGGAAAGGAGCCATCACATGGAAAGTGGCTTTTCGTGGATCATTATCTTCCTGGATCAATGGGTATGAAAGAAGATGCATGGGTAAATGTGACGAGAGAACCTGAGAGGTGTGTCAAGAGTGGAGATACTGCTGCTTTCGAGAAGGCGTTGGGCAGTAAGTTTGATCAAGATTGGAGCACCGAAACGTCCGAAAATCCTGCAGACAAGATTGCCAAGATAGAGCCTTCTGAAGTCGATCGTAGATGGATATTATATGCACTAAGTAAGATTTTTAGCTGGTCTCAGAATCTGGAAGGAATGTATGAACTCTCTATTGTTTTCTATCCTCCTAGACTTTTTAGGTGGTTGCTTCAAACAGGAAATATGACGATTCTTAATATTGAATCAGCATTGAGACAAGAGATTCGAACCTCACTTTCTGGCCCAATACCAGCTGGCCAACTTGTCAATGCTATTGTTAAGTTGGACCGGGAAATGGAATTACTACTTCATCTTGTTTCGTCCAACTTACTCGGCGCAGCGGAACTTCTCCACGCGATTCGAAAATTAATGGAAACTATGGATTTGTTTGAACTGGGAGACTGTTCAAGCCCAAAGCAAGCATTGCTGACAAATGGGGAAGACGCCCCCTTGGAAACTGATAATGCTGAAGAGGAAGTACAAAGACTTGAAGCCGAGGCTGAAGATGATCTCCAACTCGCCGAATTTCAATTAGGAGAAGGTTCTGGTGTCAGAGGTGAAGCCTTGAATGTGGCTCTCTCAAAACTCTATACATGTCCAGACAATAAGATTACGGAAGCTTTACAGACAACTTTTACAAGTCAAGAAACGGTATCACTAATCTATATTTTGAGAGTCGAATTGGCTAAAGGTGGATGGACGGGTCGATACCTTGATATCTTGGAAATAGATGATGACGAAGTTGAGGCACCTGATAATTCCATCATTCTCATCTCCAGCTTACTCAACAATTGTGTTGATGCTCTTGCAGCCGGTGGTTGGTTGACTGGAAATGCAAGATTGATCAATGGTGATCAATCCGAATCCGAAGCATTCATTGGAACATTGAAAATGGAAGTTAGTGCCGCACTCGAAGGTATCGAAACGGCTGTTTATCTCAAGGGATTGACATCCGAAATGGTCCGTTACGGGGATTCCGTACTTAAAACCCTTGGCAATGAAGATACTGGACGAATGGCCAAGTCAATATTGACACTTCCTTCGGGCGAAAAGGATCTCTCGATATTACCCATTGGACTCAAGGCCGAGAAACAAATTTCTCGTCTTCGTGTAGGTGCAGGAGGAGAAATTCAAAAGAGAAGTAAGAGAGATATTGGAAGATTGTTGAGTAGACAAGTGGGAAAATATACAAGAGAAAGAATTGTTGTGTGAGGAGGATGAAAACAGCTGGATAGCATTGAAGATGAAAGAGTTTATTATTTTAATGATATGGATTGATTGATTGGTTGGAGAAAACAAAAATCATAGAAACTCTTTTGCTCGTAACATACCATAGCATACCTTACCGTATAATTTGTACCAAGTTCACCTCGTACAAATTTCATTCATTTAACACTACACTACCAGTAACCTGTGTTCACATGACATGATTTTCGGAGTTCCCCTCCCCTGTCTTGCCTTGCCTTGCCCTGCCTTGCACTGTCTTCATGCAGCCTCAATGCACACTCAAGAAGTATGTGTCGAGATTTGAAGAAATCTATGTCTAGCGATCCTATCATCTTTCACACATGCGGTTACTCGGCATGGTGTTTGCACGGGTGGATGGGTGGATGGGTGGATACGATATTCGATGGTATAAGCCTTCATCTGAGCCTCACGCCTTGCTGTGTGCGGTGATGGATCATAATGGATGGGTAGATGGAATGGGTAGATCGGTAGATGAGACTGCGCCACAAAGTGCAGGTGTGGTTCGTGAGACATAGGGTTGGAGGTGCTTTGCTTTGGGAGTTTGGGGTGGACTGGGAGGGGACTGGGATAGGGATAGGGATGGGGATTCTCTAGTTTTTTGTCGTGTTCTTGGGTTTTGGGTTTTAGGTTCGGATATATGGTCTGAGTTTTTACTTCTCGGCTGTTTGTGTATACAGAGTACTCTGTGTGCTTGGAGTGAGTTGGATCGTTGGGTGTATGGTGTGTGGTGTTTGATTGGGTTGAGGATGGATGGATGGATGGAAGAAGAGAGGCATGGATGGTTCATGGATTGGATGGACGGAGAGGCGGATAGGATAGGTGGAGAGATGAATAGATGCATGGATGGATGTTCGTTTGTTTGTTCCCACGACGTCACTGAATCTTGGATGAACGGATTGGAATATAATTATGATTATCGGTTTCTGTATCTAGTATGGTTTGGGTTGGTGTGATATGGTTCATAATGGATTTCTTCAATCGTTAGCTATTCTATCGGAACTCAGCCTCGATTGATGGCTTCGATGGTCCTTCTATGCAGCTTCTACTCGTCACTTTAAGGAAGGTTGATTTTGCTGAAACTTATTATATGCTCCATTTTAATTCATCTTTTTGGTCTTGGTTTGCTGAGTGCTGAGTACTGAGTATTGAATTTGGATGAATTATAGGTTATTTATTATCATGATTGTGAATCTGTATTTGATATTTGAGAAGTTGTACTTATTTTACATACCTAAGGTTACCACCTAGGTTACATACTTCCCCGAATAATCATCCATCAATCCAAACTCCCCAACCCTCAACTCAACTCAACTCAACTCAACTCCAAACGCGAACTCGGCACAATCCTTTATTATTACTGTACCAATTACGATTAGAAATCTGGGAATTCAACCAGCAAAATATTGCGGGGTTTAATAAAGTGGAGTAGTTCGTTACGTCGGAGCTTTCATATCATCAGGATAGAGAACTCAGCAGGAAAGAAAGAAAGAAAGAAAGAAAAGAAAAGAAAAGATATCCACTCCGCTGCAGCAGAACGAGCAAAGTCCTTCGTATATGAAGAGAAAGAGAGTACAACACATCATATCGCACACATACACGCATACTCGCATATTTTTCTTGAGTTTCATTCGATCGATCGATTAATTGTTTAATTGTTTTGCTTTGCCACTTTTTGGATCCAAGGGATGGGTTTATAATTGAACTCTTCCTTTTTCTTTCTCTCCTTCTCGAAACTTGGTCGATGCGATATCGAAGTTCGGAATTCGAATAGGAAATAGGAACTCAGACGTCGCATATTGAACACCGAATGAGAAACGAAATGAGTGTGGGACCACCATCAGATATCAGAAAAGTATCGATACGTTGTCGCGATGTCTATCGGAAATGTCGAGAGGCGGGTGCGGAATATGAGGAGATCAGACGGGAAGTGAAGGGTTTGTATGGGGTTGTGAGGGAGTTGAAGGAAGAGGAGGAAGAGAGGAATGGGGAGTGGGATGAGGGGAATTGGGGAAGGGTGGAGGGCATTATTGGGGATTGTGAGAGGACCCTTGGACAACTTGATGGATTGTTGGGGAGGTATGGGAGGAATGGAGGGGGAAGGTTGGGGAGTAGTGAGATGGATCAATTGGGTGGGATTCGAGTGAGGTTGATTTCGCATAAGAAGAATATATCACAGTTTCTCGATTCGCTACTACACGATGATGAAGATGGAGATGCAAAGGAAGAAGAAGGGTTAGACGGTAAGGGAGAATTGGATATGTTGTTGGATAAGGTGGATGATATTGCAGCGGATAGGAGTCGGAGGGTTGGGACTTTACAACTGATGGGTTCTGAGGATGAGGAGGACAATATGCGGATTTGGAAATGGTTCAGGAGGATTCTAATTGAAGATGGGGTCAACAAAGTAGTTTTGGAACGGCATAAGGTATTTGGATATTTCCATGCGGTGGGACAATTACTTCTTACTAACAGACTTTTAGGATGTTCTAATTGCGTATATACGACAAATGGAACAAGATGGGCTATTAATCGAAAACCCATCTGCATCTACACCTCAAACCGGCCCAAGAACTCCTCATAAAAACCGATGGGATTCTGCATCTTCCAAATCATCTCATACACAAGCAGCACCAGGTTCATTCGATAATACCAATATCAATTTACGGCGCAATGACCCCGGAGCAAAAGAATTGATCCAACGAGAAGACAATATAAAATTCCCTCCAGCGATGAAATTCCAAAGACCCAAACCCGAATTTCTCGTCGACTCCTATTCATATGCCGGACGAGATATATCTTCGACAGCTCATCGACAATTATCACCCCCTTTAACTCCCAAAATCTCAACCACAGACCTCGATGTATCAGAGACCCAATCCCGAAAGGATATTAACGGCTCAAAATTAAACTCTGATGATAATACGTCATCGATGCATCAGACGATATCACGATATCCAGTTAATTCGAACCATAATAATACTTCAATAATTCAAACCTCGGATCTTCTTTTGCTTCCTTGCTTTACAACAAGTAATCCTCAACTTCTTCCACCTTCATCTCCGGGAAGTTGGAATTCGAATTCAAACTCATACTCATATCTCAATGAACCTCCCAACGAACACATACAATCACCTCAATTGAAAAAAATGACACTACGACCAAAACATAGCTTGGACCCTGTCCAGAAATCATCACCTCGTACCAGTGGTGTTCGATTCGATCTTCCTGATGAATCATCAAAAAATCACAAATCTACACCTAGTACTGGAAATAATCCTCACGATTCTACCATTCCAATTCCCATTCCTACTTCTATTCTAAAGTCGAAAATTGCACCAGATTCATCTGGTCACGAAATTCCTCAAGACGCAAAATGGACAAAGGTCAAACGATCTTTGATATCACCAGAAGTATTGATGAAAGATGGGAGGAGATTCGAAGCGTAAGTTATCCCTAGTCTTTTTTATTCTCAGCATAGATATACCATAGATATCAAGAGAAGGAAATGATATGAGGTGATGTAATGTAATATGGTGCTAATGAATATACCAATAGCCGACCCGAATTCGTAGCTATCTTAGGAATTCTAACAAAAGAGGAAATTCAACAATATGCTGAGCGTTCACATATTTTGAGAGAAGAACGCTGGTGGAGAAATCATCCTGAGCAGAGAGAAAGAAGAGAGAGGAGTAGAAGGAGTGAAAGAGGTCGGAGGAGTAGAAACTCAAAGGAAGAGGAGAGTCCTTCTTGCAGTTCCACTTCTAGTTCAGAGATGAGCTCGGATTCAGATTCAGATTCAGATACAAATGATCACAAAAGACGTGGTGATAAAAGAAATGGGGACGCAAGAGGAAAAGATAGAAGAGGTGATGAATGGGAAGAGAGGAGAGAAAGAGGAGAAAGTAAAGGAAGATCGGAAAGATATAATCGCAGAGAAAGAGATCGTGAAGCAAATTATACTTTTGCTCCTCAATCACAATCACAACCTCAACCTCAAAATTTCTCTCCCTCGCCATATCCTGCATTGAATAACTCACTTCCAGCAAGAGGTATGGATATACCCGGAACAAATCAAACACCAAATGGATACGCACCTCCTCCAGGTTCTTTTCCCGGACAACAAAATTATCCACAACAAGGATATCCACCACCTCCACAACAACAACCTCCTTACCCAACACAAAATCAATTTCCTCAACCTCCATACCCTCAAGGACAAGCACCTTCCCCACAAGTAAATCAAAATCCATATCTCTCACCAAATCCCTACGCTCCTTACTCTACTTCTCCGCCTGGCTCCTCACCTACCTATCCACCCCACAACTCTCGACATCATCATCATTCCCATTCGCATTCTCATTCTCATTCTCAATCTCGCTCTCCGCATTCTCATTCGCATTCTCATCACTCTCGCTCCCGTCGTTCTCGTGATTTAGATCCTAGATCTTCAGATCCGAGAAGACAAAATTCGGGAACGGCTAGTACGAGTAAATGGCGGGATCATCTTGCGGCGGCGGGAATAGGTGGAGGGTTGGGGGGTGCGGCGGCGGGGCTGTGGGAGGTGTTGAGTGAAGCTGCGGAGGGGTTTTAGGGTTAGGGAAAGGCAAAGGGGTGAGGGGTGAGGAGTTGGGGGGTGAGGGATGAGGACGGGATGATAGGAGAAGAATGAAAGCAGGGAAATGCGATGATGGGGGAATGAAAGGATAATGATAAGACTGGGATGAAATGACATGACACACATGAAACGAGAATGAAAGTGGGAGTTTGAGAATGAAGATGTGAATATGTGAAGGTACGAAGTATGATGGTATGATGGTATGATATGATGATATGATGATATCCAGGAGAGGAGGGAGGGAGGGAGGAAAGAGGAAATGAAATCATGAAATTATAAATCATGAATGATGATTAGGATTAGGATTATGAGATAACGATATAATGGATATAATGGATATATGAATGTATGGATTTATCGATATAGTGTAAAGATAATACTTAGAATGAGAATATGATGATTTGATGATTTGATGATTTGATGATTTGATGATTTGATGATTTGATGATTTGATGATTTGATAATTTGATAATTTGATGATTTGATGATTTGATGATAATACTTGAATGATATTGATGATGAGGAGAAAGATGAGAAGATTGAGAATAATAACAATAGTGGAAACGGGAATGAGATTGATATGACGATGGGAATCAAATACTCAAGGACACCCCTATGAAGCGCATAATACATCGATCCATCGTGCAAACACACCATTACTCAAGAACTCAAGAACTCATGTACCAACATCAAATCAAATCAATCCAAATCAAATACAAACAAACACAAAACATAAAGTCATAATACTTAAAATTCCCATTCTACCTCAACTCAATCCCTCTATCACTATACTATTGCTATTTCCTCCCTCGGTCCTATCCCTTTCCATTCCATCCCGTTCAATCCAGGCCAAAGATCCAAATTCCCATTCTCATCTTCATCGAGAATAGATGAGATTTATTCATCTCTTGTGTAAGTCCAACCTAGCACAGCATAGCCTAGCCCAACCCCATCTCCCTATCCTTCCCCTCTCCTCTTATCATTCTATCCATTTCATCCTTCACAAATAAGCCTCACCAGCTCATCCATCCAGTCCGCCTAACAAACAAACCAAAATATCCCACCAGGTGATAAACGAAAAAAAGATAAAATATATATAAACTAAGAAACAACAAACAAAAGAAGTTATGTAAAAATGACAAGACTTTAAAAAAAGAAACGCTAAACCGCGGCAAGAAATACAAGATTTTCCTCCTTTCGTCTTTCCTCTTTTCCCTAAACTCAATACCCCCTTACAAGAACATTGCTTCTAATCTATCCATCATCGAATCCAAGTTATTACATAACCTAGTTGCTCTATTGAAAGCATTAGTTGAAACTAATTTTTCGCTTTCAATATCACGAACAACAAGTTCAAATTGAGAAGGTTTGTCAAGGCCAAGAGTAGAGAAATCAATATCGAGGTTGAAGTCAGTTGAAGGTGCTGAAGATGATGAGGTGTCTTCGGCGAAAAGAGCAAATGCTGGATCAGCATCAAATTCTTCATCAACCATTTCCTCAACAATAGCTGATGGAGCAAGTTCATGAACTGGTTTACGTTCAACAATTGGAAGTTCTACTTTCTCATCTTCAGATTGTAATGAATCGACGAGGTTTGAAGATTTTCCGGAAAGAATCGATGAATTGATAATCGTTTCTGGGATGGAAAGAACGGAATAAACTTGTGGTTGATAACCAAATCCATCGGCATTGATATCAAGCATAGCAAAATCCATAGCTTGTTCTGGAATCATGACCATACCAATATGTTGTTGTTGTTGTTGCATGTGTTGTTGAGCACCATATGGGTTAACATCCTTTCTAACTTGTCTTGGTTGTTCATGTTGAATAGGAGCTTGTTGTTGTGGAGGTGGTGCTTGTTGAGTCGCTGGGTTCGAAGATAAAGTATCGAGGAAACCAGAGAATGCAGGTGAAGAAAGAAGCATTCTTGTAAGATCTGACAGGCGAGTATTTTCCTCCATCAAAGCTCTGTTTTGCGACTTCAAATCCATATTCTCATTCACCTTGACAGCAATTTCTCCTTCCAGTTGACTGATGTACTCTATAGAAGATTAGTATTGGAACTGTTTTGATTGTCAAATTCTGCTTACCCTTTCTTCTTGATCTGAAGGCACGAGCTGACACCTTATTTCTAAGTTGTCTTCTCTCCTTGCTACTGAGTTTCTTTCCTTCTTCACTAGCCAATAATCGCTCATCTTCATCCATATCTTCTTCTTCCTTTTGCATACGATGAACGTGTGTCATATTTTGAGAATTTCCGTCATCACCTTCGGTTACGACACTGCTTTGTCTCATCGAGTTGAGTAATTGAGAAATCTTTTCCTCCACCAGCGGGTCGGTAGCAGTGTGGGCTCTTGAACGTGATTGCTGTGGTTGTCTTTGTTGTTGACCACTTGCCGCCATAGCATTTTGACGTTGTTGTGCGATTATGGCTTGTTGTTGCTTTTGTTGGGCTTGAGCTTTTGCAAGAGCAGCTTGTTGTTGATGCATGCCAGGCCACAGACGACCGACGTGACTGGGTTGTGTTGGTACCACATTTCCGACCGGTAAGTTTTGAGATCCGATGTTACTTGGGTCCACAAAGTTTTGTTCGGGGTAGAAGAAAGCTGGATCTTGTTCCATGTCTACATCTGATGGATGAAATGGTGTACGAGATGGAGCGGTTCCAAAATCCACAAATTCTTCACTGGGACTCATGGCAGAGAAGTATGAAGGATCTTGAAAGTTGTATCTGTTGATGTGACCGTTGTTTTCATTGACTGCCAAAGTATTTGCGATGGCACCTTGTGGAAGACCAGTTTGTTGCCTGTAGAGGTCGTATTGATGACTTGGACCGGAAAGAGTTGGTTGATTTGATGAAGGTAATGTAGTTGGTGTAGATACAGCGGATGATCTTACGGACGCAGGAACGAATTGTGATTTTGAAGAAGATGGTGAGAGCGATGGTGAATGATATGATACCGTTTCATATTCGGTATAATCGATTAATTCGAGAGGATCTAAACAACTGACTTGAGGAGTTGAGGTTATTGATTCGGACTTCATGATTGCGATGGGGAGGAGGAGGAGGAGGAGGAGGAGGAGGAAGTTGTTGATGGATTGATGGATGAGGTGGAGGAGGAGGAGGAGGAGGAGGAAGTTGTTGATGGATTGATGGATGAGGTGGAGGAGAAGGAGGAAGTTGATGGATTGATGGATGAGGTGGAGGAGAAGGAGGAAGTTGATGGATTGATTGATTGTTGAAGTGGTGAGTGATTGAATGATTGATTGATCTGTCTGTTAGTTGGGATTTCGATTCGACGACGATGATATTGAAACCCTTTTCCTCTTCCTAGAATTGATTTCTTTTTCTTCCTTGATTTGATGATTCTTGATTTGATGATTCTTTCAATTTTGATTGATAAATGAAATTAATCAATTGATGAATTGATAAATGAAGATATTCTCCCGGGATGAATCGAAGAAGTTCTCAAGAGTTGGACGAGTAATTGATGAAAAAGAAACCGACTTGTTGTTTTCACACACACACACTAGATAACGGGTACAACCTTGGAAGCGCCAGGATAGAATGGGTTGTTGGGGCGCAAGCGTAGTTGAAGTGAAGAAAGAATACACTTATTCGTGTACGGAGTGTAGCGGCGTTAAAAGTTGATGGTATTATTTTGGTAGGAGAGAGTAGTGTTTTTAGTGAAGGAGATGGGATTTAGTGGATGTGGTGAAGGGTAATAACAATAAGTGAAGGATATGTAGTGAGGATATGTATTTAGTAAGGATAACTAATAATATGTGGATATGTGATGAAGAATAGGTAAAGGATATCAAGTGAAGAATAAGTAAAGGAAGAAAAGTTCCAAGTAAGAAACGGAAATATTCCATGAATTGCTTTCTTCGCTTTCTTCCCTTTCTTCCCTTTCTTTCCTTTCTTTCCTTTCTTTCCTTTCTTTCCTTTCTTCACTTCCCTCTTCATTGTTGCCTTCCCTCGGTATCCTTTATCGGGGAAGAGAAGAATCATACCTAGATCCAAGTGTCAGTGTCAGTGTCAGTGTCAGTGCCAGTGCCAGTACCGATACCAATACCACTACCAATACCACTACCATATTACTACTATATTACTATTATACCACTACTATACCATTATTAAATCACTACCATACCACCACCATACCACCACCATACCATACCAACACCATACCACCACCATACCACCACCACTACCAAATCCCTCCGTGGCTTGGATCAAACCGGGACGCAGAAAATCAATCGAACGCGCGTTCATCATCAAGATTCATGCATCTGATTGGTTCACGACGGTCGATTTATTTATATAAACCTCGGCGATCGGAGTATCGGCTATCTTAGTATCTGTATCTCGATTGGGTCGTGGTGATTATGTTGGTTTGTGGGTTTTTCGATATTGGATGATAGGTAGATAAATATTGGATGGTTTAGATATCGATTGAGGTTCTAGATATAGATGTTATCATGATATATATAGAGGAGAGAGGAGAGAGGAGAGGGTAGAAAGGGCAGTGAGGACAAGTGAGGACAAGTGAGGACTTGTAGATGATGTTAATGGATTGACGATAGTAGTGTGATAAGTCACTCCCTACTCAATGTACTTCGTATATGTCATATTATATCATATAGTAATAACCTTATATAACATCATTTTATATATTGATACCTTAAATATCAAAAGTACTAGTTAGGATTTAGTATATACTATTTCAGGTTATTTTGATTTTCAAAATATTGTTATTTTAATCTCAATTTGTAAAGTATTAATTTGATTTAAATTTATAAGGATATTAATTGTTACGGAAGCTGCCTCTAGGATCATGTGGAAGTGTCTAGAGTTCTCTCGAGATGGTTTAGACTAAACTTCAAATAGGAATTCAATAAGGTTGTAATTGATTACAATTTTCATAATTATAATAATGAAATTAATAATTGTTTTTGAGCACGAAGCTCTATATTATAA